GGCAGCCGGCGCGGGGGGCCGCGCTGCTGCCCCTGCAGCCCTCCTCTCGTCACCCTGCCCGGGAGAAGCCGCCCGGTTCTGGCCTGCTCCCGGCACACTCCAGGGGAAAAGGGCCGTCAAAGAGCCATGCGAAGGTCTAGCTCTCCAGCCGTCCCGATAACGCTCCCGTTAGGGGCGAGGCAAGGGAAGGGAAGTTTTCAACTTCGCGATAATCCTCACCCTTGCTCGTCTCCTTCCAACCAGTAACTGCCAATGCCCCCTTTAATCAAACGTGCAGCTGTGACATCTAGCAGAAGAGGGTGTTTCTTGAAGGTCATTTCACAAGTTTTATGGCCTTTGTGGTTTAACCCCAGTTGGCAACTAAGCACCACACAGCTGCTCACTCATTCCCCCTCCCTGGCACAACGGGGGAGAGGCTCAGAGAGGGGGGAGGAGGGGGAAAGTAAAACCTATGGGTTGAGATAAAAAGTTGATAGGACCGAAAGGAAGAGAAAATGATGATGATGATGAAAGAATATACAAAACAAGTGATGCAAAATGCAATTGTTCACCACCTGCTGACCAATGCCCAGCCCGTCCCTGGGCAGCAATCACCGCCCCCTGGCCAAGTCCCCCCAGTTTCTATACTGAGCATGATGTCATGTGATATGCAATACCCCTGCGGCCAGTTGGCATCAGCTGTCCTGGCTGTGCTCCTGCCCAGCTCCCTATGCACCTGGCAGAGCATGGGAAGCTGAAAAGTCCTTGACTGAGTATAAGCACTGCTCAGCAACACCTAAATATCAGTGTGGTATCATCATCATTCTCATCCTAAATCCAAAACGCAGCACTGTGCCAGCTACTAGGAAGAAAATTAACCCCATCCCAGCCAAAACAGGACAACAGCATAGGAAGTGTGTCACATCAGATCATTTTCACCTTGAATTACTCTTTCAAGTAATCTTAATCTTACAAGTAGTCACTCTCTGTACATTCCTTCGTGTGGTATCAATGGAGCATTGATGGAGTATTGCCGTTATACCCTTAACGTTCAGCACGTGAGGAGATCCACATGTTATGTACAGAGTGCTCTAGGGCTCCAAGAGATGCTAGTAATTTTTGTCTTTTGCAGTTCGAATATTTTAAGTAACACACAAACTTATTAAAACCACTTTTGGAGCTATATTGATATTTTTGTTTGTTTGTTTTGTAATTGGAGGGGGCAAAAGAATAAAAAACTTCAAGAAGAAACTTCTTAAGGCCAGCTCAGGGTCAGGTCATTCAGGTCTTAAGTTCTTCTAGAATTCTGAAAAGTTCGAAAGCAAGTTAGAAGTAGGTGAGAAACCAGACAGGTCTGTAAAAGTTTACCTAACAATTTTGGTATTACTCATATTTCTATATTTGTTTTTTGAACAGATCTTACTCCAGAAATTTAGAAGTACCCGAGATCTTCTTTTCAAGAGTTCACGTTTGTTGTAATTTTGTTAATAACAGCATAAGTCTAATGCAAATGCTTATGCACACATTTATATTATCAAATTCACCATGTGAGATGAAATGAAGATTACTGATAGTTTAAACATGCAGAACAACGCAATGTTTAAGCATGAATAGCTGGCTGTTCATGCTCTGAAAACAATACATATAGGAAGCAGATATTTATAGGAATTTTAATTCCTGAAGCATCAGTAGCAACCTCAGTTAACTGAGTTCACACTGAGCTTCAGGTTTTCTGTTAATTTCAGTAGACTTTTAGTCAGGCCCTGAAAACAAGTCTCAATTTTAGTTTCCAAACTTGGCACACCTACATGTAAACCAAAACCTTACTTATTTCTGTAGGAAAGAGTTATTTTTATAGATTGCTTTTATTATGTTTAGGGGTTTTTTTTAATTTCTTTTTGTTATTTTGGTATAGTTTATAGATGGGTTTTATTGTTTTCAGAAAATGCGGACTGTTTCAAGCTCTTTTTCTGTAAAGACATCCTTGCTAATGGCTGTTAGAGTTACCGATACTTTCTATCTGCTGATGAAACTGGTATTTCAAGGCTTGTTTTCATCTTACAGTGGTCATCACCTCCAGAAGCCATTGAGCGTCTTAAATCTCAAGAAATATGGTTTGCTCCACCTCAGTTCTATGAATTGTGTAGGCTGTGCAACTTCCCTTCGCTCCGTGAGTTACACAAGTTCAGCTCTGATCGAGCTCTAGAGGGATGTGAACGTTGGATGCCCGTGATGTTAACTGCTTCAGATGGCAACGTTCAGCTATTGCCAGGTAAGAAAACAGGTGAAGGTTCTTTTAAATATTAAAAAACTTGGGAATTAATACATACTCAAACCACATGACATAAACCTGTCTGTAACTTTAAGGAAAATATTATTTTAAGCTGTTACCCCATGCTTTTTCTACTAATTGGCTTCCTCCTTTGATACAGTTGGTAACGGTTACTGTCAGACAAGCTACTGCATCAGACAGCACAGTTATTTCTGTACTTACTCATAATCTCAGTGTCTCATATGGTTGCCATTAATATATTTATTTATGAAGAGATTCTAGCATTTCAACTTTTTTTTCATCTGAAGGATGTATTGGAACCCCTGTTTAGTCCTTTTCAGTGGGAATTCTCATTTACTTCAGCTATCCATTTGTCTTTGTAAGGGCAAGTGGATCAAGCATAGCTGCAGTATTAATCTTCACAATTGTAGTGACAGGGCAGTGATCTAAAAAGAAAAACTAATTCATTTTCCTCCTGCCTTTTCTACTTAAGTCTCTCTCATTTCATAATCATGTATATTTTTGCCTTTTCCTTAAGAAAAGGTGCATCTACTATTTGTTATTTTCTGCTGCTTTAGTTTGCTTTTTTTCATCATGCTTTCTCCCGTCTTCTTTTTTTTGGTCACTATTGACCACTAGAATTTCTGTATTTATGGTAATTAGCACTCTTGCACAAGAGTAACATGCATTTATATGGCAAAACATTGTTTTCTTCAACAAAACAGAACAAATTAACAGTTTCTATTCTTAGTCCTGCTGTAGCCTATCTTTATACACTTGGAAAAGTATTTGTCTTGTTCTCCACCTATTATATAAACCCCTATCTGACCAGGTTGTGATTACAGCATATTGGTATTACCAGGAACACCGAACATTCAAATCAACGCCTCAAATGTGCAGCGTCACTGACAGATGCTTCAGAAATTTATGGCTGTATCTTTAAATCTGAAGATATTTAGAGGCAATTTACTTTTGTATTGTGAAATATATACACTGAGTTTCATGTCCTGATAAATATTTTAAAATTGTTAGTGTCACTCAATCAAAAGGCTGAAAAATAAGGTAGGCAATATGTAACTAAAACTTTTTTTCTGCCCTCAGGAGATGAGTTATATCCAGAAGATCCAGATTATACAGGAGAAAAGAAAATAGTCATGTCAACAGATAAAAAGCTTGAAGATCTCATGAAAGAGGGTAGCGTATTTCACAGGGTAGTAATAAAAAACATCAACAATCTTGCTATCTATGTTAATATTCAAGCAAAATATAAACATACAAATCCATTGATGATAAACACTGATTGTTCAGATTACAATAGCAAATTATAGTTTCTGTTCAAAGATAAGAGTATTTTTAATTACATATATATTCACTGTGACTTTGGTCCTTTCTAACCATTGCCAAATAGTCAGGAAAATATTCCTTTGTGCTGCCAAAACACGGTGTGTGCGTGTGTGGTCTGGGACTTAGGTGTGCTTAATTCGCTGAGTCTTTGAAACAGCACAGTTGTGCCAGTTACGGTATTTAGAGGCCACTGAAAATTTAACATCACCATCAACATAATTATTGAATAACTTAAACGTGATTTGATGGTAATTACACTGAGCCATTACCACCTTATTCTACTTACATTCTAATTGCAGAATATGCTGTAACACTGGTCTGTTGGATCACACAGGTCCTTTTCTCACTGAAAATTTAAGTATATATTATGTGCAGAACAAGAAGTTTTGAGCTGAAGAATTCTTTTACTATGCTTCCCAAAGTCATCCCATTAGGCAACTGTAACGTGTCTAGGAATGAATGAAATCTCCCATTCCATATCTGCTGACATCTCCTACTCTATTCTCTCTTTCATTTTTGAGGAAACCAGTGTATATGTGTATATATAGATTTATTAGCTAAAATTCACTTTAAATAAATATTGTAAAGTTAATGCTTATATTCAATATACCTAAATTCTTTCCACTAATGGTAATCTATCCAAAAATTCACAGTTTTCAAAGGTAGAGATAACTTAGACAAACTAAGTCATCTGTCAGATTGAATGTTCTTTTTATTCATAATAATTTTTATCTTCAAGTTGTTAGCCATTTAAAAAATAGAAAAATAAATTGTTTAGCTCCAAAAAAATACCAATAACTTCAGGGAATAATGTACTACCTCAGAAACACCCACTTCCGTATTTCAACATCCCACATTTTGCTTCTCAACTACTTTGCTAAATACATCTGCGATTTAGAACTTCAGAGGAAGGATTGCTGCTTGCTGTTTCATTTTGGATTTCTGTTTGCTTGGTTTTGTCTTTTTTGCGCAATAAATGGAGTAAACGGAACAGTGATTTAAGTTCTTTTTTTATCTGGAAGAAGAATGAATGATGACGAGCTTAGCCAGTAAAGTTGTTCAGAAAGCTTTGTTTCAGCTTTTATTCCATATTTCAATTAAAACCTTCTGCAACATTTTCATTAAATTGAATTGCTTTGTAGTATTCATTTGGATTGGAAAAAAAAAAAAATGCATGTCTTTCCCTTCCCTCTGAACATGCTCTCACTGTTCTTCATTTTGGAGACCTTGTTGGAATTTTTATACCTTTGCTAAACGTGGATCATGTGAATCAGTGTATTATGTATACTGTATATTATGCAGTATAATAACTCCTTCAGAATATTCTGTCTAAGCCTCTAACATGAAGACAACAGGATAATTAAAATGGAGAGTAGAGGAAGTGAAGAAAGCACCCTGTATTGCTGTTTTACATGATTTTTAGCTTTCTGAGATTAACACTGGACACTGTAGTACTAGGAAGACAAGAGGGAAAGGCATGCTTATGATCATATTTGTGGTGTCTATAGTAACAAATACCTTGGCTTCAAAATGATTCAGTTACTTACTCATAATGGGCAAAATAAGTAATCTGAGTAATTGCTAGGCTGTTTTACAAGTTACAATGAGAACACACACAAATTTAACAACCAGTACCACATCTTTATCAATGCTGTATTTTGGGCTCTCTTTCACCTTCTGTGTAGAGTCAAGATTCCTCATTTTGAACTGGTAAAGAGTAATGCAGGAAATTAAGGTTATTCTGTCAGTCCAGGAAAGGAGGACAGAGAAACACTTGCAAAACTATTTCTATTTCATTGTTGTTGTGTAGCAACACTGGTAAACTACTCTATTCTGTTCCTGCAGACACAGGCTTAAAAAAAATAAAATAACCCATCTGTGATAATTAGCCATAGAATCATAGAACGGTTTGGAGTGGAAGGGACATTTTGTCTAACTGAAGACTCCTAACATCGGCAGGGACATCTGTCACTAGATCAGGTTGCTCAAAGCCCCATCCAACCTGACCTTGAACACTTCCAGTCAAGGGACATCCACAACAACTCTGGACATCCTGTTCCACTGTCTCACTACCCTCACTGTAAAAAGTTTCTTCCATATATCCAATCTAAATCTACTCTCTGTCAGTTTAAAGCCATTACCCGTTGTTCAGTCACTACAGTCCCTGGTAAAAAGTCTCTCTCCATCTTTCTTGCCCTTTGTGAAACCATGCGGGCTGTCTCAAATCACCTCTGTCCTCCATATGCTTGAACATACCTTCCGGGAGGACCTGCTACATGATCTTAGCAAGCACAGAGGTGAGGCTGACTGGTCCATAGTTCCCAAGGTTCTCCTTTTTAAAAACAGGTGTGATATTCCCTTTTCTCCAGTCACTGGGGACTTTGCCTGACTGCTACAACTTTTCAAATACAATGGAGTGTAGCTTAGCAACTGCATCTGCCTGTTCCCTCAGGACCCCGAGATGCATCTCATCAGCTCTCATGGACTTCTCTATGTTCAGGTTTCTCAGATGGTCTTGAACTTGGCCTTCGTCTACGACAGAAGGGACTTTATTCCCCCACCTTGAGGTTCGGGGACTTGAGAGAGGTGGGAAGAGTGACTGCCACTGAAAACAGAGGCAAAAATATTGCTGCATACCTCAGCCTTCTCCATGTGGGTTGTCACAAGATTTCTCATCTTATTTATCAGGTGGATGGGGATGTATACATTTTCTTAAGTCCTCCTTTTCTGGCCAACATACCCATAGGAGCTCTTACTATTATTCTTCACATCCCTTGCCAAATTCAGCTCCATCTGTGCCTTATCTCTCCCGATCCCATTCCTATACACTCAGGCAGCATCCCTATAGATACATATTGCTACTTCCAATACTACGCATTTCTTTCTTGCACTTCAGTTTGACTGGAAGGGACTTACTCAGCTACGCTGGTCTCCTGCCTTCCTTGCCTGATTGCTTACACATGGGAATCAGGAGCTTTTGTACTTTAAGAAAAACATCCTTAAAGAGCATCCACCTCTCTTCTGCTCCATTATCACTGAGGGCAGTTTCCCAGGGGCTTCATCCACCAGTTGCTTAAACAACTGAAAGTTCACTCTCCTAAAATTCAGGGTCTTCACTTTACATCTGGTCCATATCCCTCAAGATCATGAATTCACATACACAAAACAATATATATAAGAAAACACAAAAACCGAAAACATTATGTAATCTGCTTCAATTTTGCAATATAGTCTTTTGTAGTTGCCAGAGAGCTTCCCTGATGATTTTTTTATTGTTCTGTATCTTATGGTCGGGTTTTTTTTGTGGTAGAAAGTAGCTATTATGACAAAATATTTTTAGGAAAAATATTATTCAGCAACCTAGATACATGTTAGATTCTTACAGAAGTTTTTACACACCTGCATGTTGCTGTACATTATGCCATTAACTCTGCTGTGTGTCAAAAACAGTTATTTCAATACTAAATCTATACCTTAAGCGAACAGTCTGCCTCTTCATCTTTGACTGCCTCCTACAACTTTTTTTCTCCACCAACAAAAGCAGAATGGTCCAGTAGGGGGAGCTTGAAGGCCAAAGGACAAAAGGTAACAAAAAATAACAAAAAAGTAACAAAAACATCTTATTTTACATAGAAAGTGATGACAATCGTTAAATGTAAGCATAAATGGCTTAGAATATACATACAGTAAATACCTGTTAAGTTAAAGATATTGATGATTAGAGCTGTAGTTTCAAATATTGAACCACTCCTAAGTATGGGCTTCTGCCCAAAGCGGTAGGCTTTATTTCTTAGCTGCATGTTTCATCCCTGTCTCTTGGGTGGCACCTTGCCTATGCAGCCTTGTGCAAAACTAAATCAGGCCTAAAACCTTTTTTTTTTTATTATTTTTAAAGCCTGAACAAAAAGGATAGCATACAAGAGAGTGAATTAAAAAAAGAAAAAAAAAAAAAAAGAAAGTAGCTGCTTTATCACAGAGCTTTAGATGCAAGAGTGAACATTTTCTTTAAGCCCTAAATGCTACAGGACGTTTGGAACAGCTGTTTTCTGTTGTGGATATGTATCTACTGAAGTAGCACGGCTGAACTCCAGTAGGGAAGTGCCAGGTGCTCCTTCTCCCCATCTGCCCCATTTTACACACCTGCCAAGAACAGGCTCCACTTCAGGCTTCGCGGCCCCCGAGAACAACGCGCGCCGCAGAAGCCCTGGCTGTTACCGCCTCAGGGTGGGCGCCTCGGGAAGGGAGGCACCGCCACACGAACAGCCCCAGCCCGCTGCCTGGCCTTGCCCGGCCCTTTCCCTCCTCAGCCCGAGGCACCACCAGGGCTGCACGGCGAGTCTTGCCCCTCCGAGCCCGGGGCAGGAAGAGCAGAAAGGCCGGGACTCCCACTTAAGGCTCCTTCGCCACGACAATACGCTTGAAGAGCCGAGAATGCAAAAGGGCTGGCCGTTTCTGGACGCTTCTGAAGAGAGGAGCAGAGAGCTGGTGTGGGGCTGCGTTTGGGCGCTCATGGCCACGGTGGTGTTGGCGACTGCTTTTCGGGGGGTTATTTTTAGGAGGGAGAGCGCGAAACTAAGAATGTGAGGGGGGGGCGGGGCGGATAGGAGGAATAAAGCAAAAGCCATAGTTTTTTAGCAGTCTTTTACCTTTTACTGTGTTCTGTGCTTGTTAGATGTGGGTTTTTCAGATGGAGTAAGACTGACTGGAGGGAGAGAGGCTGGGATAGCGAGTTGGTTGAGTTTGCTGGAAGTGTGTTGTGGCCGAGGCATCCTTTTACTTTCTCCTGTTACTCTTTTCTTGAGGTAGTTTTTTGGGGTGAGGGGTTCAGTGATCTCTTGAATCTTTACAAGGTCAGTATCCTTAGTGTTGGGTATGGGATTTAAGCAAACATTTGTGTTCTTAGTTCTTAATAACAAAGTAGGTATGTTGTTGCTGGGAATACCCTAGGAGAGCTAGCCTTTATGTGGGTGTGCTTTATCCTTGGTACTGTGCTGGGTCATTTATTGGGTTTGTAGTTCTCAAACTGAGAGATTAGGAGAGGTTATCTATGGCTCTCACTTGTTATACGTGAGTCTGTATTTTTTAAGTGTCTAAAGCAGTGTTACGTATCTCATGTTACAGTATATTATAGTGCAGTATTAGAGACCTGCATGTAACTTGGATGGTATGCTTGTATCATATGATATTAGGTAGGGCTTCTAAGATAGTTTCAGCTGTTTCATTGTATGGTCAACATGGGAGTAATTACTACCATCTCTTAACAAAGCATGTTGCTAGTTATGACCATGGTGTAGCTGTACTGCTTATTTAGTGCCGATTTGTTCACTGCTAGCTTTGGAAGTGGAAGACCAATGCTCTGACTTCCTTGAAACACTTTATTAGGCACCTACTACCAGCGTGAATTCTTTTAAGTGATAAGCTAGACACTGCAGTGATGATACCATGATGTACTGGTCTGTGCCAAAATGAATTTTGCCATTTGCAAATTACTTCAGTCTGTAGGTAGTTTATTATTCCATTGTAATTCCTAGGTATGTTATGTGCCATTGCAGGTGAATGTAATGTGAATTACTGGAAAAATCTCTGTTTGTTGAAATTGTTTGCTAAGGTTGGGTCTCTAGTGTTATGTTTTTGGGTGTTTTAAAGATGTAAGCATTTCCCTCTGGTGGTTTCTGTCCATTTGGTCATGTAGATAGATTGTAGCAGCCCTTGTCTTCAATCAGCCTCTTTTGGCCTTTGAATGTAAGATAAGCAGCTATATACTGCAAGTAGGTTGAGGATAACAGGTGTGTTTTGGGGTACTAAAAATTGACATGGTTGTATGTAAATAAGAGTGGATGGCCAATCTTAATTAGACTTTAACATACTGCCTCATTAAGAAGGCTGGTTGGAACCCTTTGATAAGTGTAAATAAGTTGCCTAGACTACTACTCCTGATACAAGTAGCAAAAATCTGTAGGCTTATTTCAGGTGTAAACTCTTTAGATATGCTTCAAAACAAATGATGGCTTTAAAAAAATGGTTAATTAAACATTTCTTGTTCTATTACAGTAGTGTTGAGGAAGACTCTAGCTGAGAAACATGGAAGTCTTGGTATTAGAGGTATGCTGGTGGGTTTAAAGTCTAAAGGATTGCTGTTTGTTTGTTTCAGTGCAACTCTCTGGAAGTCAGATTTACAAATAAGATGATGATGCTGTATTTCCATTCAGCAGCACTTTCTTATATGTGTGGGGTCATATATGGATTATATACATTTTGATGTTTCTTTTAAGTATTTATATTGCTTTCATCTCAAAAGAGGTCAGTAGGGATGCAGCTAAAATCAGAAATGGAAGATGTACAACATAACTTGAAATGGAGTGTAGTATAGTACTAGTTTCTACTGAACTTCACAAGAAATCATGGAAAAATCATTTTCCCAGAATACAGCCAGGATAGCTGACCCAAGGGATATTCCATACCATATGATGTCGTGCTCGGCAATAAAAAGTGTGGGGAAGGAGGAAGGAAGGGGGACATCCATACTTATCAAATTTGTCTTCCCAAGTCAGTGTTGCGCATGATGAAGCCCTGTTTCCTGGAAATGGCTAAACGTCTGCCTGCCAATGTGAAACTGAATGCATTCCTTATTTTGCTTTGCTTGTACCTGCAGCTTTTGCTTTACCTATTCAACTGGTTTTATATCAACCTGTGAGTTTTTCTCACTTTTACCCTTTGAATTCTCTCGGCCATTCCACTGCAACAGTGAGGGAGCAGCTCTGTAGTATTAGCTGCCTACTGGGATTAACCCACAACTGGGGACCCAGATCAGCTGACAGACTGTGATATAAAGGCTTACAAAGGCTGAGCAGAAAGCTATGACCCCTTTTTAAAGAAACTGACTGTCTTATAGACTCTCTGAGCATGAAGAAAAGCCCATTGGTGGTGTGTGTTTTGGGTTTTTATACATACTTCTTGAGGACAATATGGAGGTAAAAAGCTTTATGTCTTTGCACTTTACCCACTGTTTGGTTTAACCAACTTTTTAGATAATGGTAGTAGCTTTTAGACTATGCATGCCATTAATTGCAGTGCTGAAGAAACTTGCAAGCAGAGACATTATTTAATGAGCTAATGGTCTGAAGTTGAAAGATGTTTTGCTTGTTAACATTCTATATGCTAAGTATCAGTCACCATCATTTTTAAGGTGCCTCACTAAAGATTCTAAGTTTTATTTTCACATTTGCTGCTCAGATATTCTTAAAAACTTCCTATTGTTGTAGCAGGAGCTAATAGTATTTGTTATTGTTGTCTACCCCTTGCCCCAGATTGAAGATCCAGGCTGCTTTTGGGTTACTATGAAAGGATGTGGGCCTTATGTAGTCGATGAAATAGAATATAAAAACCTGAATGCTGAAATGAATCAGTTCTATGACAAATCTTATAAAGATGTGGATGAAGTAAAACCAGTAACAGTAGAAGAAGGCCAGGTAAAATCATTGCTGTATTGTGAAGATAGAGAGAAATAATCTGTTATTTGCATTGGTTTGGGGTGAATTATCCAATATATGTATTTTTTTTAATATTGCTATGTAGAAAAGTAGATAATGACATCTATATGGGTTATATCTTCTTAGCTGTAAACTTCATAACTATATAAGATGCAATGCTTGCATTTTAAAAAGAAAATTGAGCGATGTATAACAAAATACTATATTCTCACCACTAAAAAACCTTTGAGTGTAATTTGCTCCATTTACAAGAACCTGCTGTCTTGTTCTTTCTCTTTCAGATTTGTGTGGTTTTCAGTGAGGAACTCAAATGCTGGTGTAGAGCAATTATTAAGTCAATCATGTACTGTACAGATCATTATCAAACAGAATGTTTTCTTGTGGATTATGCCAAATACATTTTTGTTAAATCAAAGGAGTAAGTGTTTGGGCTTTTTGATGCTGTCACTGAAAAGTATTTGTTAGCTAATGCATACAGATAATTAATATTTATTTAGACTGATAGTGGCAAGGCTTTGCTTTAATTGAGGTGTGGATTGGGTCCATGAGAAACTGCTAGCCATGTGATAGGCCCCTGCAAGTGTGGATGCAAACCAATCTTTGTTTTGTAACTCTTTAAAGATGCTTTCTATTGTAGGTTTTGGGTTTTTAAAGGTTTGAAATAGAAGTAATGTCAGTTTGTTATGGCTGAAATGTATGATTGCCAGTTAACATTATTTATGTATACTTTCCTCCGTTACTAAGTGATTATATATTAAAAAATTAGAACCAGTGAAGATCATGTACAAAGCATATGTGGAAGCAGGGTTTCACTTGCTGAACCAGCTTTTGACACCTAGACACAAATATGTAGGGGTTTTCCTACTGCAGTTTTACTAGCTTGTTTACTTTACTAAGAGCTGACTGTCTGTCTTGGCATGGTGCAAAAAAGGTGAGTTTTCACAGGTTCAGAGTTTTTAATAAAACCACTATGAAACCTGCTGTTTCTAAAATCTTGAGAAATGTGTTCTAAAAAATTAAGAAAGCTTATTTAAAATATTTAAAAATAAATCTGAAGTTAAGTGATGTTTTTAAATTTAATGTTGCTGTATTGGAAAACAACTTGACGATGTCCTGAGTTTATATGTTTAATTAGAAGTAAATGTGTGATTTACTGCTTTTTCATTGTAAAATAAAAAAAACCAAAATTGATAGCAAGATTTAAGATCCATTTATCTATATATGGTGTCTTGCTGGCTACTACAACTCGCCAACCAAACCAAGTGTAAAGGATAAGATTAACCCTCTAGTGATACCTTTATAAAGAACAAATTCTTTTTAGGAAAATGAGTTCAAATGCAAGTTAGTGTATTAATTTCCTTCTCGCTGATGTTAATCACAACTGGTTTCTCACACAGAAGTAATAACTGCAAAATGGATTACTGAGTGTCAGGTAGCATATGTGGTAGTATGAGGGCTAAATATCATTAAAAGATTTCAAACTGTAGTGGCGAAGGGTCAGAAAGATTTTGAGTAAATAGGAAGAGTACTCATATCCGGAGTGAATCTGTTCACTAATTGCTCCTGGTAGCACCTCTCAGAATGAAAAATAAAACACTGGTTCCAGCATGTTTCACAATGGGAGCCAAACCTCTGGAAAACCTGTGCTGTCCAGATACAGAGTAATGGAAGGATGTGTATAAGACCAATGATGTCTGGAGAATAAAGTCTGCTATGTCAAATGAGATTATTTCTGCTTTGTTTTTAAGCATTCGAGTTCCACTGGAAGCATTTATGCAGATCCCATATAGAGCAAAAAAGTGTAGACTGTACCGTACAAAGCCAGTGACATTGCATATTGACTTTTGTGAAGATACTGCAAAAATAGTGTAAGTAGAGTTTAATAAATGGATTCTATTCATACGTTTTTAAATGTGAAATTTTATTGCAGATTTTTTTTTAGAAGAGATTATGTTTAAGAAGAACATAGGAGATCAGATTTGGAAAACTTTCAGAGGAGCAGTGATTAAACGGAACTGCTTCCTTAGTGATTCTTCCTTGATGATTTGGGGTTTATTATTCACCTGTTTGAATCTTTTGATATTTATTTTAAAACCTTCAGAAGTTTAGACATGTTTCTGGCAGTTCTTGTCCTTTGTCTGTCATCCCAGACCTGTGTTTCTTGATTCCTCCTAGCACGTGAACTTCTTTGCTAATCTGTCCTTATGTACTGTTTCTTACAGGTGCTCTTCTTACTCCTGACTTCTTTCTTTTTGTGGTAGTTACACCTTAGCTGAATGGAAGTTCTATAGCTGTTCATAGGTAACTTTGTTTTTCCTCATTCTGTCTTTTTTTTTTTTTTCTTGACATACTTTGGATTCCTGTCGTGCTTTCCTTATATGCATGTCAGTTTTTTCTCACTGCAGTTTTGATGGACTTGAGTAAGGTTTTCACTGGGGTCTGGTGGTAAAGAAAAATGCTTTTGTGTCCTTGGGGTCCAGGATGCTTCTGTCAAAGATCCTGCTGACTTGAGAGGGATGTGATTAGATTACTGGGGAATATGGCTCCACAGCAAGAAAGCTACTTTGGTTTGTGTCATCAAAGAGTATTCAAAACTACATGTGGTCAAGCAGTTTTGTTTTGCTTTTTTTTTTTTTTTTTTAATACTCTTGTTTGGAAGAAGAAACTAGTATTTGACTTCCAGTATTCTGACAGAACAAATATTACCATAGTTTGGATAGGAATAGTGTACAGCTTGAGTGGGTCATCATTGCAAATTATCAAAAAAACTAGTAGATTGTCACATTTTGTTTACAGTATTCTTCATTTGATTCCTTTTTTTATTTTTGTACTTAAGGTTGCAGAAGATGGTAAAGAGTGAACTTGATTTTCTGCTACAGACCTCTCAGTCTTCAGTACTTCAATGTTTAAGTGATTGTTCAAAATTGCTCAATACCTATTAATATGTTCTGCAAGTGGATTCTTGCTTTATTTTTGATTATTCTGTTTCATTTCTAACCATCATATTTTATGCTGACTGTAAGCCATCATACCTTGACAAAGCAATATTCAGTAATTTTCAATCGGTTCATTTTATTCGTGAGCTGAAATCAAGACTGAAGTTAGATTGGAAGTAATAAGATCCTGCTAATGTGTCTGGTTGGTGCACTTAAAATTTGGCATGACTTGAAATAATTTCTGTACTTGCATCCAAAGTTTTTTCCAAAATAATAGTTTTAATTTTTGATGATGTGGGATAACTGGTTGTGTTTGTTTTTCTAGACCAGCCAAAAGATGGGATAGTGCTGCTACTCGGTATTTTCAAAACCTTCTCAAAGGTAAATAAAACATCCTGCTAAAATGCAGGCACTTCTATTTAGGGGAAAAAATAGGCTGTTAGAGAAATGTAGTACTTGTGTTCATAATTTGATTTATATTTAAGAATGTCTTATGAAAAATAAAGGAGCTACATAAGGTTTTTTGCATGGACTAAGGCAAAAATATTTGTGCAGCTGCATCTTAAGTACTGTGGGCTTCCATCCTGAATAAATTTTGATAGTTGACTAGATAGTACCTGGCTCTTGGACAAGCTAAATAAGGCAGCACTCATGCAACGTTTGTTTTGAACAGTGGAGCCTTTCTGTGTATTTAGCTTAAGTCTTTGAATCTTCATCATAGCTGTATTTTTGTAGCTTTGTACAGAGATGGCAAGAACTGGCTTAGTAGTTTACCCTTTCAGTTGTTTTTTGATAAGGATGTGAGCATCAGCTCGGAAGAGGAATATCTTTGTTACCTTTATTGTTAACAAATAGATTGAGCTCCAAGTAGTTTAGCAAGTTAGAACTGCTGCTCCTCCCCATTTGTTCTTGTCCTTTCCCATGTTTGGTGTTTCAGCAGGTTGTCCAGTCTTTTTCATATCAAGACTTCTATTTTGGTATAAGACAGCTTTTGGTCTTACTAGAAAAGCAGCTTTTTACTGAGATTTTCTAATCTTCTTGCTTACATGCTTCTACCTGAAAAACTACCTACCTACTTACTCACAAGTATGACAAACTCCAGATAAAAGGTATTTGGGCAGGAGAGGGTGAGATTACAAAAGCAATAAAGGGTCTTTCAGCTGATAATTTCACACACTAACTGGGACATAGCACTTCTTACAACTTACTTGCTGCCCCCACACACATGTCTAAGTGTCACTGTGCAAAGTAAAGGTTAGTAGGGAGCAATAATTACATTTAGTTTAATAGCTATTCCCAGACTGTACCTTTAGTAATACATACTTTTTTTAATGGCGAGCACATCATTAGTGTATGCAGAAGAAGTGCTTCAGAATTTACTAACGGACTTGTATCAGCCATCTTTGTTTAAATGAAGAGCCTAAGAAAGCTATATAAATGTGCAAATATAACTTTCAAGTAAAGTAAATGTCAAGTTTGGAAAGTATGCGTTTGTACTACAGACTGTCAGAGTCTAAAAGATAAACTAAGACTTTATTTGTAGAACTAAGACTGGTTTGTGTGGAGAGGTCATTAATCTGATTCAGCTCTCAATCTTCCTTCAAAGGCTAAGGACAACTTCATTTTTGTAACTTTTAAGTTTTTATTGCCATGTTACTTTCTTATTTTCACTTATAAGTTACTACATTTGTAATAGCACGTCTAATTGGGATTTCTATTTTTGTCTATCTCGGAAAATACAAGTGAAAAATACTGATAATTTCGTGGGTGTAATCTTTCTACTTGTTCTTGTGTTTATTACTACATTTAGCAACTACCCAAATGAAAGCCAAGTTATGTGCTGTAGAAGATAACACATTTGATGTTTTTCTTTATGTGACAATAAAAGATGAAAAGGTAAGGTACTTGTATTTCTACAAACCTATTTGTGCACTTTGCTATGTAAGTTATAACTTCACAATTAACTAGACTGAAAAGCATTATTTGCAAGTGATTTTTTTTTTGTCAGATACAGTAGAAGCTAAATCATTAACTTATTAGAGGTTTTGTTTTATATTTCTGTTGCTTGTAAACTTCCAGAGGAATTCCAAGAGGTAGGAGTGCTATTTGTCTTTGTGAACCTCTTTTTGGAAGGTATTGACAAGCAAGTGAAGTCCCGCAAGTACTTGAAATGGACAACTATGTGAATTATTTAGTGCTCTTTTGGACCTTCGTGTGATAGGCTTAAAGATGTTTCAATAAGGCAGCTGCATAGCATTATAAAAATAAATAGAAGTTCATGCTTGGTCTTGCATAAGACTGAGTCCTCAGACCTTTGGGGAAAAAAAAGAAGAGTTCTACTTGCCAAAATGTGTAAATTGTGCTAAATCTCTGCTGTAGCTACTGTCAGTCTTAAGCAGCTGTGTGGTAGATACAAATGAATTTGTTTGAATACCAGTTCTACTTGGAGCGCTTTACCAAGGCTTTTTACACTGGAGCTGTGGTCTTTGCTGTGGACAATAACTTTGAAGGTACATACTAATTTGAGTATCTTCTCTCAGTTCAGAATCCCAATTGGCAGTAGTGTCACTGATCTCTAAGCCAATGGAGTTTAAGAAGTTTTAGGTTTGGTGTTACTTTTTTCTGCCAGGTTTTGATGCACACTGAATCAAAAAGAAATAAACCAGCTTGACTTACTAACAGGTGTGGGGTTTTTTTAATTTTTAGGGCTTGTAGACAAAGTTAACTGATCACAGAATTTTAGGCAGAAGCATGAAACTGACAACTAATTAACACCTGTTTAGAGAACATTCAGGAAGATATGACTGAATTCCCTATTCTAGAGCTAAGATTCTTCAGAAAGCATTTACTGATACTGCTTAGGTCTTACTGCTGTTTAAAGCTTCAAATAAATTCTAAACAAGTATGTGGTGGCGTAGCTTATTGCTTGTACTGGTCAATAAAGATCTTGCTTTTTTAGGTATGCGTTAATGACGATCTTGTCTCAAAGAACTTTGCTCGTTTTGAGGAAGCTAAAGAGAATACGGGGAGTTATGGAGATTATCACGAGAGCCAAATATCATTAAATGAGTCTCTTCCAGTGAAAATTGTTAATCCTGCGCTTGCTTTCAGGCCAGTGCTGTTTCAGGAGGAGATAGCAACAAATCTTGAAACAGGTGGGAACCGCATGTGTCAGAAATAATCATAAATACAAAGCATCATGTGTCTTAAATTGGATATATTGAACGTGAACCTACTGTCTCTGAATCCAACAATTGGATCAAATGGCATCCTTCTAACAAACAATGCTTATGTGTCAGACTTTACAAAGACCGATCAAATAATCGGATGCAGGAATACTGTAAAGCTTTTTGTACTGTGTAAGGCAAGGGAAGGCTGAAGGTGAGTTACATTGACATTTGCTGATATGTTTAATAGCATTAGGTATTTTTGAAAATACTTGTGGTATTGACCAATGATGCATTACTGGGGTTTTTGGAGTTTGGAGGGATTTATTTGAACAGAGGTGCTTTAAAAACAAGTGTTTACTGTGAATTGTCTCACTTAAAGTGATTCTAATCTTTGTTTTTAAAAGTATGCAACTTCCCATCCTCCATCCTTGTTCACTCAGTTCAGCTGCATGGTTACCTTTATGTAAAGATAACTATTTTTGGATGTTCTTTTTGCTATTAGGAAATGATACAAGCAACTAAACCAGACAGTTGCAACCTACTGAAAATAAAATTATTGGCTTTTTATGTGTTCAGATAATCAGAAACATGTTTCTGCACTTTTTACTTACCTTTCTAGGTCTTGCTGTTTCCAGTTCCGTTCTTGAAGAGACATACCAAAAGTCAAGCACAGATCTAAATGAAAATACTGCACCTGTAAGTATTATATTTTGTCTTTAAATTGTCAAAAATGAAATAAATTAAGCATACGTAGGACAGCGTAGGAATACTGTAGTCGTCTAGTTTGTTCTTCTATGTAACAGATCTGGGGGGCAGCACAAATTCTTGATACAGTTAAAAAGAACACTTCAGTTTCTTTTTTAAATTATAGAAAATTATAAGAAAATGTGCTACAGTCCTTGAAAAGGTTGTGCCTCCTTTTGCACTCCTTTGCTGTAGTTCTATGAAGATAACTGTGTACACTACACAGTTTTCTGAATATGTAAAGATCTAAATTTTAATGTTTCCCTAAAAACAAAATAGTCTTTATACTGTACCATGGTAAACATTCATTGGAGTCTCTTCTTATTTGTTCAGTCATCTAACACTTTAAACATCTAATATGGTTTCTTGCTTTTTTCTATTTCTTTTGCTTGCTGTTATTTTCTGAAATATTTTCAGTAGGTCAGAACTCATTCTTGAGTGTTAAATTGTGTACTGAATTGCTACAATGTCCAAGGGAAGAAAGGAAAATGAACTGATAGATTCTAGGCAAATAATCACTGTTGAGTGTATGCAATCTTGGCTCTTAAAGAGCCCATGTGCTGTTCCATGTCCTCTTCTGCTAGATGCTTTAAAGGAGAAATTTGTTTCTATGATAGCAATGGAACTACTTCTTGTGTCAGGTCAGAGGAAGAAAGGAGTTTTACAGAGGTTATTTTTTAGCTCTGCTGAGAATTGAAGGATGATAATCACTCCTGAACTTAAACTGTAGTACCCTTTTAAAATATTTTGGAAAGAGTAGCTGAATAATTTTTACCAGCCACTTGAGTGATACAAGTCCTTGACAGTCACGCCTGTTGATTGCTGGTGACTAATGATGAACACTAGAAAATTCCCTCTTCAGAACCAGACATCTTTGGGATAACTCTGGGTGCGGTGTCTGCTACTGGTTACTCCCCTAAGGATTTGCAGTGTTGTCCAGTTTAAGTTCATGTGTGTTGTCTTTGTAAGCATGCAGCTGGGTAACCTGTTTCTGTTTTTCCTCCTGAATGTGGTGTGCAGGTTTTCCATGATTTTTCTTAATTTTGTTTTAAAAATGAAAATGTTTAAAAACTAATCAGTATGTGTTCATACTAGCTCAGGTCCCCAGTTATGGCTGTTGCTTGAGATGTGACCATGAACTAATTTTTTTCTTGTGTGGGCAATGTTCTTGTGGCATGCTTGATTCTTAGTAAATAAAATACTGTTTTATAACAAGTTAGATGGTTTTCTAAAGTTTGTTTCATGGAAAATGTTGCCTTATTCAGACAAACTTACAATTTGTTTAAAAATTCTCCAAAATATTTGGAGAATCCTAGACTTAGGTAAGAAAACCACTTTCAACTCAATAGACTAAAGAAATAATTTTTCTGAAATGTTGTTCTTGATCAGTATTTTAGTGCTAGAAATGTGCTTTTCTTTTCTTGATAGATTGTCAAAGCAATTCCTGATTTGCCTTTCAAGGAAAATACAGCTGTTCACACAGACAGGTATGGTGCAGCATGTTAAATATTTTAAATGTCTATGTGATCAGATAATTAGGAGCTATAGTATGTTTCCAGTTACCATTCCTACACAGGTAAAAGGGCAGAGAGTAAGAAAAGATGAATACACATGCTGTTGGGGAAGAAGGGAATTTGAAGCTGCTGATACTTATCCAGACTGCAATAAAAATTGCAGTTCTCTCTAAATAATAGCTTGATGACAAGGACGTAATGGGGAAGTAGTTTTTCTGCACAGTAAACATGTTAAATAGTTTTGTTTTATTCTTAGTTTGATTTATAAAGTTTTCAAACTTAAATGAAATATGACTAGGATTTGCACAATGCTTTTACTATGCAGTATGTCAGTAGATGTATATATAATAAACCCAAGGAGTGCTTCTAATTCCTTTTCTAACTGATGCAAAGATAGTGTTTCATTTTTTGAAACTTTTAAGAAACCTTTTTCCTATAATTCAGTCTGACTTTTCTTCTAAAGTTGAGGAACCTACTAGTTATCTTTGTTAAAAATTTTCCTTAGGAATATTCTCAGATACTTAAAAGCTAATACTATATTTTATTTTCAAAATGGTACTTTTTGATTTCTTCTTTCATGTTTGAGGGTTTTCCTCCTTGGCATTGGTAATACAATAGGAACAGTTTGCAAGTGAATTGATTCGTGACATTGTAGAAATATTGGTGGTATTTATAAATTACACTTTACTTTTGCACTTACATTGGATTTAATATTTGTATGCTTCTCAGGCTTCAGCAGTTCTCAAATTCTGATCCTGTGAAGACACACATCACTGAAGATGACCAACAGGTATTTTGAGCATTAACTTTCATTTAACTTCTCTTGTGTGAATGTATTATGTGTAGTATGTGGAAGGCTTAGGTAGTGTTGGGGCTGCAGGGGTGGTCTTTGTGGAAGGAGGTCAGGTTTACAGCTCCATTGGCAACAAGACCCACTGCAGGCGAAAGCTGAGCCAACCAGGAAAGTTGGTAGTGCCTCTGTGAAAACATATTTAAAAAAGAGAAAAAAATGCAGGGGAGGGAAGAAAAAAAGTGAGAAGCAGGGGCAGTGCCAATGTCAGAGAAGCAGGAGATGCTCCATGCTGGAGCAGGTATACCTGAAGGGACTGCAGTCTGTGGAGGACCCATGTTGGAGCAGAGGCAAGAAGTGAGAGGGAAGGAACAAGAGAGAGAAACTGCTATGGTCTGACTGCAGTCCCTGCACTGATCATAAGCGGGGGGAGAGAGGAGTTTTGAGTGAAGTTGAGCCTGGTAATGGGAGAGGAAGGGTGTCTTTCTCAAGCGTGTAAATGTTTGTTTCTTTGTTTCCCAATAAGCAAATCAGTACTCATATATTAATCGGCAACAAATTAAGTTAACCTAAAGTTAAGTCTGATTTGCCTGCATCGGTAACTGTTAGTATCAGCACTGTCTCCATTTTGACCCATGACTCTTCTTGCTTGCTCTCCCTGTTTTTCTCCCCCATTCCCCTGGAAGGAGAGAGTGAGTGAGCAAGTAGCTGTGCAGGTGCTTGGCTGTGGGTTGAGGCCAACCCACCACAGGATGCTTTACTAGTTGTCTTTTTTAATTAGTTTGATTTTGTTATAGCTGAGTACTAGCTGTACGCAGAACATCCTGTTCATTCTCTTGAGTGGTTTAAGACAGTTGTGTTAAGATAATCTTTCTTTAAGAAATACTAGTAATGAGTATTTCTTGCCACTGGTCTGTCTAACTTATCAGTATGTATGAGTCACTTAAAATGTATTTACAATATGTTTAGCTATTTTTCATCGAAATACCATTTTTTTAAAGACAGTAAATGCTTTTGAATTGTGTAAGCTAAAACCCTTTTGTTAAGTATTGCCTTTGTCATCTATTTGTCATATGGTTTCAGAGTTTACAAAACATTAGTGAAGAAAGTAAGTTTGTCTGTCTTAGCAACAAAATTGAGCCATCGTCAATTCTGGAAACAGCACCACTTTTTGATGGTCTGAAAAAGGTAATGTAATATATTACGCTGAGTATCTTTTTAAGGCTAGTATCATACCCCAACTTTAGGTACTAAATATTATATCAATACCTAATTTTGATTGTGGAATACAAGGAGGTTGTTCATGTGGTTGAATAAATGATGCTTTAGGGAGATACTGTAAGAATTGTACACATTTCTTCTGGTATATCAACCACTGCCACAAGTCATGGGATTTGAATTTTAACATAATAATTTAACTCCTCAGCCCAGAAGAACTTTTTCGTATTGCATGTTAAGGACACTTATTTTGTAGCTGGTCAAAAGCTTTTAAATCACTTAAGTGTTGTGTTTTGTCTTGTTTTGTGACTGTTTAAGTACGTAGTTTTCATGTGGAACTCTTTAATTTCTCTTTCTATAGGAACTTACTCGGAAAAAATTTTTAGGCCCTAACTTCACAGCATCTTACTGTTGGCCACCGGTAGCTCGAGGATGTGATGTAGTTGCCATCTCATATCAGGGAAATGATCCTTTTTTATATATTCCACCAGTTCTTACGTTTTTGCAGTTGGGAAGCTGCTACAAAGCCTTGCCAAACAGGAATGGAGTATGTATAAGAGTAGTAACAGGTTTTCTGTTCCAAATTGCAGGTGTAAAATAATGATCCAAAAGATAGTGGATGTTCAGAATGTATACATTTAATGTGATCTTAGTGTGTCTTCATGATGCTTGCCAGTTCATATAAGCTGTCTGCGTAGAGGCTTACAGAGATGGACTGCATGAATGTGGGAGTCTAAAATATATTTATCAAGTAATATGTAACAAGTGTTTAATGTCATACCACACTGATACTTGATGAAGCTTTGTTTTAATGGCATTAAATTACAATTCATATTAGCTATTTTAAATACTGTGATTTACTTTCTAATTTATATTAGATCACAGAAATATAGAATTACTGAGGTTGTAAGGGACCTCTGGAAATTGCGTAGTACAACCCCATGTAAGACAAGATGGTCTTGCTTCTGTTAAATTTTTGGACCTTTTACTGTTTGTTGCTGCATGCATGCTTTTCTCTCTGGGTCACCTGGTGTATGGTTCCTTGGGTCTGTAACCTCTGCATTTAGGAGGTGATCTAGTACTAAAAGCTCCAGTTTTGAAATAGTAAAGGCCTGTGTTGCAGATTTTGTTTTTGCCCTAGATGCTGCAAGTAGTACAATTCTTAAGATTCTGAACTCTTGTCTAATACTAAAGTGTAAAATTTTTTATGTATGTAGCCACTAGCACTTATTTTATGTCCCGGGTGGAAGAAGGCACAACTTGTTTTTGAACTACTGAAAACATATGAGAGATGCTCCAGACAGCTGCATCCAATGTTGATAATACTTGGGCAAAACAAAGAAGCAGCTAGAAGTGTGAAAATCCGAGGATGTAAGAATACTTTCTATCTTGTTAATTATGCTTGAAAACAATGTGGTCTGCCTTTATTGCAGGAAATTGTGAAAGCAGCAATTTATACTTCTTAAGCTTTTTGTTCTATAAAGTGATAATTCTATTTCTTTAATGCTGTAACTCTGTAGTGCTACATGAAGCTTCAGTAATGCTATTTAACAGTAAATGGTATTAAAGCTGTTTGAATATCTACATGTTCAGCATTTTTTGGTAAGTTTCGTAACAATTCTTCTTGAGCCAAATTACTCGTAGGGATTTGCTGAAGATCATGCTGAATTAGGATTAATCATGGACTTTCTTGATGTAGAACCAGATTTTGCAATAACTTTTTTGATATGAGCATCCATCACTGCGTGGGGTGCTGGGGCTGTCAGGGATGGAGTTAATTCTCTTCATAATCTGTATGGTGGTGTATTTTGGATTTGTAACTGGAACAGTGTGGATAACACATGGGTGTTTTGGCTCTTGCTGAGTATCACTTGCATGGCATCAAGAATTCTTTTTCTCCCTATCTGCCACCCAGTGAGTAGGCAAGAAGCTGGGAAGGGGATACAGCTTGGACAGCTGACCCAAATTTACCGAAACGATGTACAATAGTGTATAATGTCATGCTCAGCAATAAAAACTTGAGAGGTGGGGATGATCTGATGAGTGGCTGGGCATCTGTCTGCTTGTGGGATGTTGTCAGTGGTTGCCTTTGCATTGCTTCCCGCCTCCCTTCACCTACTACACTGTCTTTTTCTCGACCCATGAGTTTTCTCACTTTGGCAGTTCCTGTTCTCTCCCCATCCCACTGCAAGGATGGGGGGTGAGTGAGCACCTGTGTGCCTTTTGGCTGCTGGCTGCAGTCAGCTCACCACAGTGATTCATATGTGTATGTTCTTCACAAATATTTTTAACAAATATGCAAGTATTTAAAATACATGGGTTTTATGTTTTTTAAATTGACAAACATTTGGATAACATGTCTGATGCTGCTTTACTGCTTATATATGCTTAACAGTTCTTCTCTACTCTTCATTTAAAAAGAGTATTGGAAAACTGAAGGATTAAAAAGGAGGTAATAGTTCTTGGCAGATGAAGTTACATAAATGTCCACCTTAAGTGTTAGCTGGAAGTATTTTTTTGAATGTTTATTTCCAACTTGTTTATTGCAATAAATTCTAAGTAATTTGTGCATGTAACTTCAGTAGTACGCAGAAGAGACTCCATAGAGAAGATCAAGCATAGAAGTAGTAAAAGAGCTGTTGGGAGACCTGCCCTACCTAACTGTATTTACTTAAAACACTTAGTTCTACTATTCTTGTTTGGTCTTTTTGTTAAGCCGTAATTGATAACTATTTTGAAAAGTGGCTCTTTTTGCCAAGGAAATAAGAAATATGGATAAAACCATGAAGGATTGTGTAAAACTTCTAGTCTCAGCAGTTTGTATTCTTACATCCATCATTCAAGTTTAAGAGCCTGGCGGATGAATTCAGATCTCTTATTAGTAGAGTGGTTGGTGTATTTGCACAGATTAAGATTGGTGTGGGTTTATTTTTTTATATATATATTTTTTTATATATATTACACGTACACGTGTATATATGTGTGTGTAGATATCTAAGCTATAATGTGTGCTTTATTCCCTTTTTAAAACTGAACTTTTCTAAAGGCTGTTCTTGCACATATTTAAATATTTACCTTCTGTCTATCTGGTTCTGACGTTCTTATCTCTACTTTCATTACCTTATTTGAAAATGAAATGGCATCCTTCTTTGTAAACTTGTGAACGGTCAGACCTTTCACACTTTCAAAAACTCACTTTGACCCACTCAGGTCTTGGAAGACTTGCAGGGATAGAAAAATACAAGCATACCATAAAAGACTCTTGACCAGGAGTCAGAAAATGGAATTCAGTGTTCTCTAGTTAAAAAACAAACAAAAAAGAAAACCTCAAAACCCACACAAAATCAACCAAAAAAGAAATCCCCCAACCTCTAGATGATGCATCTGAAATGCAAATGTGGCCTTTTTAATAAAACTAACATGTCCTATGGTGTCTTATTAATATTCTTTCAAGTTGCAGCATAATGTTAACAATCTTTCCTTCCTATTTGTAGGTGAAGTAATTGTTACGACGCCATATAGTCTCCTGAGACTGTTTGAACATCACAGTTTATTATTTTGTAGACTTTGCCATCTTGTTCTTGATGAGGTTGAGGTACTGTTTTCTGATGCTACTGAACAGGTAAATGGTCTTGTCCTGTTCTGCACTACTGCTTCATTATGCTGTCTTCCTTTGCTGTGAATGGTTTCCCAAGGACTTGCATTTTTTTTCAAATTGGTAGCAGTAGTTTCAGTGTAGCAGTCTTTAATCTAAAGACTTGCATCATCTGTCCATAAGGAACTTTATTTTCCCTCTTATCAGTGCTGTTTGAACAGCTTCAGTTCAAGAACAGTGTTTATTGGTAAGCTCCTCAGTCTCTGTAGAATGAAAGGCAGAAGTGAATGGTCAAATAATCTTGGAAGCAATCATAAAAACTTGCCTTGGGCCCAAACAATAGTGCAGGCAAAAGGAGAAGCTGTTCCCAACTTAAAAGAATCTTGGAAGAGGAACAGCATTAAGTTCCATGTTGACAAGAATTAATAATTGTATTAGTTTTAAAATGATGACTTGAGTAACAAGTTTGAGAAAATTCCATATTTTTTTTTATTGCTGCTTTGAGGCTTCATAGGACAGATGCTTCCTCTTAGTATTACAGTATATTACATCATCAGTATACACACCTTTTTTCACTGTCCTAGATTTTTTGTAAATCATTAATGTACTAATATTACCTGTTTAAAATTTGGTTATAAGACTAAAGGACCATGTTTCTAACTGTGAAAAGCTAGAGAAGATTCTTAATGGAGATAGGTTGCCCAGTTTGCTATATGTGAGGCTGTTAAACGTGCCTTTGTAGCAGCAAATCTCAAGTCATAAATTAGATTAAATGTGACCCTTATCCAGTAGAGCATTCCTTCTTTCTGTTCAGGCTGCTCTTCCAGATGGAAGTGATCATTTGATAACCTTTGCATTATTGTAGCTCTTCTAAAGCATTATGTTACAAGAAATGTTATATTGCTAACAATGTTGCTGCCATGGGTAACTTTAGTGCCAGGTTGAGAGAGATCTCTTAGAATTGTGCCAGAGCCGTACAACAGTCCTTAGTATGGTAGTGCTTTGCCAGAAAACCTGATGTTGTTCCACAACTGGTCTGCTTGCTATTTATGTAAGGTGATGTTATGATGTCACCAGGAATATATTGATTCTGTCTTGGTGATTTTTATTTTTTATAAATTATTTTATGGCACATACACACCCTTTTTGGTTTTGTTTTGGTTTTTTTTGCATATTACTGTATTGGCAGGTTGGTCTATCTTCTACTTACCTCCTAGTTTTTGCTGACCGCCTCTGACCTCTTGGATCTACTTCTGCCTTAGGCTTTTTCTTTTTCGGATTTGAACAGATCCTTTTCGTGAGATTTCCATCCTCTCTGGGCAGAATCCTGTATTATGATCCTGTGTGCATGCACATGCTGTTCCCTCGTACTGTCCTGTGGCTTTCTTCTTGCTTCAGAAGTTGTTAGGGTAAAATAGGATAAAAATGCACAAACCAAACACTTCGATTTGGGATATGAAATTTGTGTTTTGCTGTGGCAGTGTTTCTGTGACTGGAAAAAAAGTGTCCTAAAACAGTGTACTTTTCACTGCTGTTACAGACTCATTGGACTCGGATAAGAGGATAGAAAATTTTTTTTCTTTATAGGTTTTTACTATATTAGATTGTTACAAGAAAGCCATTGTTCCTGAAGAGTGGGAGTATTCACCGCATCAGATTATTGCTGTTGGAACTCGTTGGAATAAACATGTAGCACACTTGATAAAGGAGTTCATGAATGATCCTTACATTGTGATAACAGCTGTAGAAGAAGCTTCCATCTATGGAAATGTGCAACAGGTAGAAATTTGGGGATGATGTCACTATTTCTTTACTAAGATATTTTGCTGTTTGTACTGATTAAGGTCAGTATATGTGGCTGCTGATTGTTTATTTTAAGTGGGTAGTGCTACAGTCCTAACTCGGACTGTTTAGGTGCATCTCTCATGTATGATCTGAGACGACTCTTAGAAGACCTGTGCAAGTCAATCTCTAAACAAGCTGCAGGTTTTTTACCTTGCTTCATAGGACTGAGGTGAAAATATTCCCTCAAGTATTTCATTGTTAGTGCAAATGAATCTGAATTTTATGTGAAGTATTTGCAAATGGTATAGTTCTTGACCAGAATTTTATCAGAGTGGTTTTGCAATTGTTAATTGTGAGTGGCAGAACTACAAGGTAAGTTTTCCCAAGTCAGAGCTAGTAAAATACTTGGTTTACTGCTGTGTGCCACACAATACAAAACTTAATTTGACCTAAAATTTCCAGAAAGTTACTACATGTTCTCGGGTGTCTCCTCATTTAATTTCTATTCAATGTGGTGTAGCCCTTAAGAATAGTACAAAATGTTGTAAGTATGATCTGAATTCTTCTGTGTCTCAAAATGTAATAATTTGGGGATTGAGAATGTTGCGAAATCTCTAAGACTAGATATTCTGAGCATGACACAAAACTGAAAAAAACACCACTTTTTGCGAGAGGTCTAATTAATGGTTTGGCAGGACTGAAAATGTCAGTGTTTTGATGCTTCAGTTATTAAAAGTATTTCAGGTGCTTTTGCAGTATGAAATCTTTCCAGTGGTACTTGAAAATACCAAACAAAGATTGATAAATCACCTAAAATTAAATGAATGAAAAATCTTAATGTGGTATTTTGATTATGTGTAGGATTTTAATTGTGGTTCTGGAAGCTGTCCGAAATTAATATCTCTTGTGAGTTTTATCTTCTGTAAGACCAAGTACTTACTGGGGCTACCATTTACTGGATTCTCTTTGGTATTATATAACAATACTTAGTGCTTATTAAAAGGAAAAGTTATAGAGTAAGGTATGTATAGGTTACACGAATTATCAGCCCTCTGTTTTGTATCTACTTCTAGGTTGTGCAACCTTGCACAAACAGTGACAGAACTACTGTGTTACTCAAAACACTGGATTTTACCCACAATAATCTTCAGAAGGTGCTGGTATTCACTAATTCAGTAGATGAAGCAGAAATGGTTCATAAGGTAAGAAAGTATTTAAAATTACATAGGTAAGTGCTTTTTTTTAGTTGTTAAGTATGACAAACTAAAATATCTTTGCTTCTGAGAATAGAGGAGTGTGAATTTGGAATTTAATTATTTCTGCTAAAAATAGCCCCAACCCAGCTCTTCTGCCAACTAGAAGAAAGCCTAGCTGACAGGAATGTCTGGCATAGAATGCATTCATTACTAAATTCTTAACTACATTCTGTCTGTCAGGTTGGAACTTTGAGTTGAATCAAACTGTCTTTTTTCCAGTAAAAGTTCTGTCTCTTAATTCTATTTTTGACTGTTTCCAGGAGTGGTATGGGGGGAGAAAACTTAAGTCACATGTTAAGAAGTTCTGTTATGTTGCTTTCTACTTTGGAGTAGTTGAAATTGTAGATGGCTGTTTCTCTCAGATTTGAAAAAACATTTTCTGTCATCTGATGAAAGTCTAGAATTTAGTTAAGCTTCAAGTCATAGGGCAAGGGGGGAAGATAGTACGCTTAATAGGTATTTTCTTAAACTGCATAAAACTGCTTCAAAATTATCTGCAACAGAACAGTTTCCCACCTGTTTTTCTGGGATTGTAGACTCTGCATTTCAGAGGTGGAGACTAAGAAGGTGTTTTCCTGTAGTAGTTCTTTCTTCAGGTATTTTATCAATGAATATATATAACAACATAGCAATACAAAATTTCTTCTGTACTTTCATTGTCTCTTTGCTCATCCTCCAACAGTGCAAAGTAAAAGGAGTGCAATCTGATTTGACTGGGAACCAAGAGATCAGAAACAGTTCTGTTAAGCCTTGGTAGGGTGATGGGGATGATATTGCGAAAGGAGGCAAGCTATGAGGATATTAGAACTAAAACCTTTAGTGATAGCTTCAGGGATGGGATAGCAAAAAGATGTGTGGCTGGATTGTTCAGATGTCCCAGGAAGAGTTATGTCTGAAATGTGAGAAGAAGCTGGAATAGATCCTGTGATATTTAAAGGATTCTTCTTATGTAAACGTTAGCGTATCTGGAATGTGTAATCTTTGATGATTGTTAATGGAAGCAAATCTGGTTTTGTCTTGTGGCTTTACAACACTGATTCCTTGAATATTTGAGGGTTAATTTCTTCAAGCATATAAAAACAACCCCATCACCACTTCAAGGAAGAGTGTTTATTGATACTAAAGAAGTGTTGAAGCTGTTTGTAGAAATCCTTCTGTATAACAACTTCAAATATCTTAAACAGTCTACAAAACTTTAAGTGCTAACTTAGTTCATTTGATGTGCTGGTTTACCAAATAGCCATGGCTTTTGTAGGGATTAATTTGTGAACCTAGAACTTGACAAATACATAAAGCCTTTTGAGAATACTACATTCATGCAAATTAAGTATGGGTAAATCAATAAGGGGTTTTTAGTGCTTTTTCTGAGAGACTAAAACTTGAGTCTTTATGTTGTTAGATGATAGAATTGACTTAGAGAGGACACCTAATGGTGGTAAAAGGCTCAAATGGAATTTGTACTTTCTTAAAGATCTGTTTAATAGGAACTGTCCATGGGAACCCTGAGTTTTATTAGTTTTCTTTTGTACAGGAAATCAATAAGATTAATCTCCATAATCTCAATTTTCTTTTTTTTCATATAAGCAAAATAAATTTCATTAACTCAAAAAAAAATGTTTTTCCAGTAGCTAAAGTATGCTACATACTAATAAGATATACTGTTTATTAGAGCAGTTGTTGCTATACTGGAAGAATGTATAACTTTTTACTTTATTATCCAGGCACTGAAGAGCAATTCAATATTTTCCTTGAAAATGCATAAAGAGAGTGAGTTTAATTTAAAGTATATCTTAGAGCAGTGGACAAAAAAGTGTAGCTCTGGCACTCGTGTTGTGTTAGGTGAGTATTTTCTTTTTGTCTATTTGTGATTATGTCTTGATGGTGACTCGTTCTACGCTGAATGCTTACACTAGATCATCTCATCACTTCCACAGGGTCAGTTCCCTATGAATTCTTTTTAGTTATCCCTTTACTTACTAGTGCTACAGCTAGTCTTTTTTTCTTTTTTTTTTTTCTTCATTGTTGTTCCAGGGTCCCAGGGTTAACTGCTGTGAGGGAAAGCCTTACTTATTAGAGGGAACATAAAGGGGGGGGATTTTATGCATTAGTTAAAAGAATTAGTAGTACTTCCAGAGAACTTAGGTGATTCCACAATTTTCTCCTACTACAGAAGATATTTTCAGTTGAAATAATCTAGAAACTCCGAAGACTTACTGTAATAATTTATTGTATGTTCTGCAAGAATTTTACTTTTCAAGTTGTTGGCAGTAGCAAAGACTCTTACCCAGTTTCAGACTTATTTTCTTCTGTTTTGTACATCAAAAGCAAGAAGATTGACTTAATTACATCTGCTTTGTGGGTTCATACAAAGGTATTAGCATTCCTGTATTACATGAAGTGTTTTTTATCTTACTCTGGTGAAGTACTTGGCTGTGGGTAATTCTGTTTATTCTGTGGTACTGATGTGAGATACAGAATTATGCTAGATTATTAGAGACTAACATGAAACACTGTTTCTGCCATATGCTTGTGAAGTGTATTGACTGAAGAAACATAATGCCTTATATAAGTGTATTGGGAAAAGACCTTTTTCTTAATTCTTAAGTCAATGGATGGGGAGAGGGAACAGCCATTGCTATGTTGTATACTTCACATGTTTGAAGTATCACCTTGTGTGTGTCAAAGTATTCTCTTATGTGTGTATATGTGCTTAGTTTTAACAGATGATTGCCTGCAGTCTCTGGGAATTACAGATGCAACTTGCGTGATACATTTCAGTTTTCCTTCTCCAAGAATTTTTGGTCAGCGTCTACACAGCATGTCTGACAATTTCTGTAAAGTCATAAAGGTTTGAGTAAATCTTTAATGGGTTACAACTGCATTTTATTAAGTGGTGGATACATAAAAGCTTTTAAAAAATACAATTTTTTTTCTTTAGGATTCTTCTGTAGATCAGGAATATACAAAGGCAAGGTCAGTTATTCTGCTAACAGAAAACTGTGCATGTCATGCACTTGGGATCCTGCGCTATTTGCAGCATGCAGAAGCTGAATTTCCACCAGAACTGTATGATTTTAGTGCCAAGATGCTAGAAGCTGAAGAAGATAAGAAATTTTCACGGCCACTGTGTACCCATCTTAAAACATTTGGGATTTGCAAGTAAGGAAATATCAAGTTTTCTTGATGCCCATACTGACTCAGGAGGGCATTGTATGCCTTGAATTAATGACTGCTTCTATCTCGTTGATGAATTATCCTGTTGGATACTTTTATTCAAACCAGGTTTTGCTCATGACTTTTTTTTCTGTTCACTGTTGGCATCTGTTTTGCTCTTCTTAGGTGCTTTTATGAAAACAAAAATATTAATGTTGTTAGGGAGACCAATCATACGTAGTCTGACTTAGTAGCATAATTATAACTCCTGCCTACATGTACTTGAGGGAACTTTAAGCCATTGTTTTGATTAGTATTCTAACCATAATTGCACAAGGATTGTGCTTTACTTTCTCCCCTGTTGCCTCCTGTCCCTCCAGAGTAGGTAAGTAGATTATGACTTCGTCTGGGTTGTGTGCAACTGGATTGATTGGTTTCCTCCTTCAGGTACTACTTATAAAGTGTTCTCGGGCTACACTAGAAGTGTAGATAACTGTGGTTGCAAGTAACAAAAAATTCAGTGTTAGTGTTTGTTTTACTCTGAAACAAGTTTTCTGGTGGTTTTTTGTTTTGTTGTACAAACTTTTCCACCAAGAGCTTTTTGACCATTTCTAACCTGCAGAGTCATTGGTGCTATTTGAGACAAATTGAATATTGAGGATTGATGAAATGTTAGTGTTTAAAGCTGTTGTAAGTCACATCAAAATAATTTACAGCTGAAAACAAAGGGCTTTTTTCTAAAACCTTTTTCTTAATATGTAGGAATAGAACAGTGTGTCCAGATCGTCATCAAATTAATTTACAAACAGATGTGCCCCAGAATATACCAGATAGAATTACACAAATGCCTGGATGTGTGACAGTAAGTTGTTACTATTTACCTTGGTTTTGGGTACCAAGAACACAGGTCTTAAATAGCTACTTAACATATTACTTATTTTTTTGTATTACATTAATATTACTGTAGTATATAGACTATACCTCTTGGATATTTGTTATTTTTTTAGCTTTTTCCTCTCCCTTGCATAAATAAGTGTGCCAGATTTTCCATTAATCCTTAGCTTGAATTGAAATTAGTTTGCAGGTGATTGAGCTGACCTCAACAACATCTTCTGTATTGAAGATTCACATTCTGTGGGAAGAGGGTTTGTTCTATTTATTCCTTCCCTCTATAAATTGAGACCATATACTGAAATTTAAAAAGTTAAAGTTCCTATAAACTTAAATTATATTTATTGTAGAGGAAACACAAATTAATCTTTTGGAGTGAAGAGAAGTTGAGGATGATGCATGTTTTGTTGGAAGTGAGGATTTTTTTCCTTAACTGACACATTTGTGCAAACTTGCTGAAAAATGAAAGTATTCTGGCCTTGACATTTGAAACTAGTATTTTCATTTGCTGTATCCATGTATCTGAAATGCTTTTTGAAAACCATTTTGATAGTGTGCTGTTCTAATGGGACTTAATAGCTTCACAGTCATGAAACCTTCATGGTTATTGAGTTGACTTTGCTGTGGTGGTTCTTACGTCCCAGTAAAAGTTTCTATCTCCAGCTCCCCTCACCTGGCTTTTCAGTCCCTTCTATACTGCAGTGTCCTCCCGTACAGCGATGTTGTACAGTCTCTCTCATCTCCTTGTGGCACGATGATTGCCGAGGGCAAGCGTGTAGACATTGGTGCTTCCTTCCAAAGTTAGCACTTGGGTCTTAGAAGTGCTAGGTGCTTTCTGTTTAGATGAGCTGCTTCCACCTTCTTCCTGCCCTGTCTTTTCTAGAATTCAGGTGCCTTCAGGTCAGTTAATGGATGTTATCCATTCCCAAAAGTCATAGGTTATTAGAATAGAAAAAAAGAACAACTGAGTGGATTCCTTGGTGTCGCTCTGTTTCTGCCTAATAAATGAGCTTTTGTTGGTAGTTACGAGTTCAAACCCTTTGATGACCTATATGTATCCAGTTTTAGTGCCAGATGAATTTGCCAGATTTAGTGGACAGATTTCATTACACTCCTGTTAGAAACTTGCACTTAACTTGTGAGGCACTCGAGACTGTAGTTGTGGCCTCTTCCATTTCCACATCTACTCCTACTGACTGCAGAGCCTGGTTGTCTGTCTTACAAATCAGTTATCACTTCAAGTATTCACTTTCTTTTTTTGTATGGGTTATATGTTTCCGTCCTTAAAGAACTTCAAGTCGCATTGTGCTTTTTTAGGATCTTTACGAAGTGGAAATTACTTTCTGGTCTTCTCACTGTCCTGTCTGGGCTTATACATGCAGCTGTATCTCAGTACTTCTGCCTGACATGACCCTTTGGACGGAATGCACCCACCATTTTATACACCGGTGTTGATAGTATATTTATAATTTCTCATTTAAGTAATTTTAGTGCAAAAAGAGTTAAGGCTTCATGCTTCCCCAGTGAGTTCTTCTAAACTCACTGTAAGGTTGGAGAACACTTAGAATTAAGCTTGAACGGTGTGCAATGCTGTAGTGGTTAGTAGCTTGGCAGGTCCATAGTATAGTTCACTGGTGCTCATTTCAGTGGAATACCACCAACTGAGACCTAACAGTTCTTGCTCTATAAATTTCTGTCCACGGTAGACTGGACTATGAGCAATTAGTATTATTCATAATCTTACGAATAGCATAATAGTAACTCATAATAGTCTGAAATGTGTGTATGTAGCAGCATCTCTGTCACCTCTTTGGGCTGGAAAGAGGTACGTGATCTTGAATATGAAAACTTAAATTTCATTAATTTAAGAAATCACCCAGTCTTCCTTTTTTCTAATGTATTTTATACTTTCAGATACTGCCTCTCTACATTGTAAATGCAACAAACTACTTTGGTCGAATAGTAGATAAACAAAAGGACCAATATACAATTCTTGCTGAAGAAATTAATGAGTATTTTAAGAAACCTAGTAATAAAATTTCTGTTAAAAATGTGGAGAAGCTAGCGTTTTATGGATTATGTGAGAAAACACTTTTCCACAGGTAAAAATGTTGATTTTTTTTTTAAAAAAATTATTCATGTGCACTTCTTTATAGAAAGTAATTTTAAATTTTTATTGTTTACTTAAAAAAGTCAACCCACCCCCAAAACCAGAAAAAAAATCACTGCTATTCAAATCATTCTTTAAAAAGCTATCTCATATTCTTTTAGTTACGAAATGGAAAACAGAATAACTACCCATATGTATGCATAGTTAGATATTTTACTATGAAAATATCATTTTCTTAAACAAGAGTAGATTAAAAAGTTTTTTACAATTAATTATATGAACAATAATTCTGTGTTTCCTCTCCTACTGTATGAAGGGTTCAGGTGGTCGAGATTTCCCCAAAAGAGGAGGGTAATTTCTTTAATGTCAAAATTAAATACATAGATGAAGGCAGAACAAGTCAAGTTCAGAGCTATCAACTGCTTCACTTACCTGCAAAGTTTCAGAGTCTGCCACCTCAGGCTGTGGAATTCATAGTTTGTAGAGTGAAACCCATTGATAATGAAATTGAATGGAACCCAAAGGTAATATTTATCAAGTTTTTCATGGTATTTCCTTAGAAGTTCTTCAATTTCTCTGTGTGTTATTTTCTAAAAGAAAAGTTATGAACTTCAAATTTAGTTACCAAGTTTCATTGCCTATTAGTATTACCAATAAATATCTGCTATTGGGACAGAGTCCGAGAAGTCTGTTTTCATGTTTGTTTTCCTACAAAATAAGAAAGTGAAATTTACAAGACTTTCTTCTCTATGGTTCAGATGCTTCTTCCAGAACAAGTTATTGCTGCCTTTCAATCTGTGGCGAGTAACAGGGGAAGGGTAGCCTCAGTAAATTGACCTGTGTTTGGGTATTCTTCCATTAAGGAAGCTGCTTCCTTAAAGGCTAGTACTATTTTAACCTACAATAAAGTTGGAGTGTTTCACTAGTTTATTCAAAACTCTTATTATTTATTTATTAAGGTCTGAAGATTGTTTCATTATAATTAAAATAACTGTAAAGCTATGTTGGTATACATTTCAAGTGCAGTGAAAATTTGTTTTTCCCAGGTAACTCATTATATTAATCACAAAATTAAAGGAAAACTACATGAAGCAAAAATAGTACATACCTTGGGAAATACAGCTTGGGTTGATCCAATGGTAGGTATAAAATTGTAGCATTACAAAATATTTGTATCTTAAACTCCTTTGTAACAAGAACACCCATTCGTCTTTTTCCTTCTGTCTGTTCCTATTTTAATTCTATTCTACATGGTATTCACATAATACTGTCCTGGGGAGCTGACTCGTGCCCCTGCTTGAGCCAGGGGAATTGAGTGAGATGACTTCCAGAGGTCCCTTCCAACCTCAACCATTCTGTGATAAATATGTATGGTTGCATATAGATGGAATACATGACTGAGTAAACTTGAACTTTAAATCTGGAGAGCTGAATATGCACCGGTAACAGAGCACCTAATTAATTATAAATGTCATCTAGACTATTCCACAAAGTTAACAACAAAAGAATATTTTGGAAGTACTAGTTTTTAGGGGTTTGTCTTGTAAAATCAGTTCTGTAGTTCATCACACATTCCTCTGAAAGAATAAAACTTTGATCCTCCAAGATGGTTTGGTGATATCTAAGACCTCTTATACTAGACTCAATTTATTCTGTTTATATTTCTAAGTCTTTACCATCTTTTATGGTTCTTGTACTATTTTAGAGTTAATTTTATTCTATATTTTTCTGCAAATTTAAAAAACACTTTTAAGCTTTTTTGCTTATTTTTCTTGATGAAAATAGAAAGAATGGATGTTCTTGGATATTTTTACAATTTTACTATACTAACATCTAGAAGACTTCTTTGTCTTGCAGAGTGTTAATGCATAGTATTGTGAGTTTCTTCATAAACTGAATTTCTTTGTCAGCATTCAAAAGAGGACCCATAACCATTAACTGGATATAAAGGCTGTGATTCTGGCTTTTCAGATTTATTTTTTTTTTTTTTTTTACGTCTTCTCATTGCAGTAATTTCAGGCTTCTGATGAACATGCTTTAATTATTGGTTCTCTGAGTTGACTTTTTAGGGTTTCCTGAAATGAAAATGGTACGGTCAGTGCCATGTTTGTATTGTTTTTCTGCCAGTTCCCTAGGCTGTGAGAAAGGCAGTACTGGCCTGGACCAATTATTCCTGTTGGTAGTGCTGACGGGGAGGTGGTAACTAGGGAAAAGTTAGAGAGTATGTCATCCATATGATGATATTTCCTCTGACTATTCTCCTATTCTCCCAAAACTTTGCAGGTAGGAGAGTGCCTTAGGGCTGTGTTTTACTTGAAAGTTTGGTTTGTGGGTTTTTTGGGGTTTTTTTTTTTTTTGAAAGGCAGGAATCTATTCTGACACTTACATCAAAGGACAAAGATCAAATGCTTTTTAAGCCTTTACTAATGGCATGAACAAGCTAGTTGCATTTTTATGATGTCTGTTAAGAAATAACTTCATCTTATGAGTAAGGAGTTCTGTGAAGAATTGTTATCAAAGGGATTTTTTTTTATGTCTGGGCAAGTTCATCAGAAGGGCCTCCCTACATCTAAGGATTGTGATGTGCTTCTTGTGGCTGGTTGGTCCTGCTAAAAAGTACAGTAAGTTATTCCTGTGTGTTGGAATGGATCATGCAGTGTTTTCCATCTGACCAAAAAATAAAGTGGAAGGAGAAAATTATCTGGAATTAATTCTCTTTAGTAGTTTCTTTTCCCATATGGTGTATCTCAGCCTCTCTCTGATTTCTAAGCTTTTGCTTTTGTTTAACATTTTTCTTACCATGCTCCCCTCCCCAACAGTTTTATTGTTATTTGGGTCTAGAAGTTACTCTGTGTGGTGTATATTTTGTCTGTAACTTGTGTAATCAGAGCTAGGATTACTTCATTGCTATTTTGTAGCTAGTTCCATCTAACAGAACCTAGTTACTTAAGCCATTATCACAGTGAAAAAGGTGGTGATACTTTGAAAACAATTAAATGTGCGTATGCTCCTGTTTGAAAACCAGAGCAAACGAATTGCTTTACAGGTATAAATGGGGGTATATTTAAAGTTTTACTTAAAGAACAGCTTGGAGTTGGAGAGTGATCATTTATGAACTGTGGTTTCCATTTAGTATGTTCTGTAATTCAAGGTCCGGGTTACCAGGCTTCCAGATTTGAAGATGTCTGTCAATGAATACAACGTGCGATCTGAGATTTTGTCTATGGGTCTGGGAACTGACAATCCAGAACATCTAATACAACTTCAGAAGTTGTGCGGACGCATGAAGGTATTGGATCATGCAAAGAACTTGGAGCCTTTGTAAGTGTTTACAAATTTTTTTTCGCATGTACTTTACTAGGGAAAAAAATCTATTATTTTAACTGGATAAACTCATAACTATAATCATAACTCATGATTAATATTACTGAATGTGACTTACGTTTAAACACGGAGACAATAGTGTTTGTGATATGTCTGCTTTCCTTTAACTGTTCTTTAGCCACATAATCATCATAGAAAGAGAAATACCAATTCTAGAAAATGTTAGAGTAGTATTTGCAGATAGTCAAGTTTATCATAAAAATATGGAGTCTGAATTCAAGTTCTGTTATCTTTTATTGTGATCAGTGGCTTTTTTGAAGAGTACAGTAGAGCATATTGTTGGTGTTTGTACAACTGCAGAGTTCAACCTGGAAAACAAACAGTTTACTTTAAAAGGATTAGGGCTGTATATTTAATGAGTATGGCTACATGATGGTTTTGGCAGTAACAGCACTGTACGTTTGTTTTGTTTTTTCTTCTTGATGTGTAAACTTTTAGAACTGAGTAAATAGTGTATGTGGTGGAAGGGCACACCTCACTGTGGTCTGCACCGGATCCTAGGACCCTTGATTTAAAATGCTTGTGAGCAAGACATCTGTAGCTCTTTTCTGGCCTCTCTGTGGCATCTTGTTCAGGAATTTCTTCAGCCACTTATTCTTCAGTTTGGAAAGCCATTATTGAAAATATAATTTAAATGCATTTGTCTAACCAACCAAGTTTTTTTAAATATTTACAAGGAAGAGAGAAATCTCAAATATATTCTTTCAGAGAGTAAATACTGCTTCATAAAAAAAAGGTCCCTGGAATACCAGCAGGGGCACTATATGTGCTGTCTCAGGGTTGGGCAAGTTAATTAAGGCTATTGTTTCTGTGGCTTAGCCAGTCAACAAGATGAGGAAGGCCTAACCCCCTTCATATTCCATTTCCATCTTAGGTTGAGGTTCCTGCACTTCTATCTAGAACTGTACCGGAGTTTAATCTTAACTAAGGGATTTGGCTTTTCCCGTATTTTGTTCAGTCTTAAAAGTCTTTGAGACTGACATTTGCACTGTTGATGCTTGGAAGGATTTTTTTCAGATTTTATTCCTCACAAAGGACTCTTGGGCTCTGAGGTTTCTGCTACCTTGAGCAGAACCTTTTTGAATTTATTTCTTGTTCCATGCTGTTACTGAACCAGGGAGGTTGGTATCTTCCTAATGGTCACCAGAACATGTAATACTAGAGACCAGACAACTTTATTGTGGTGCTATGTGCAACTGTTCCATCTCAAATATCTGCAACTGCTTGGACTACTTTTTGCAGACTCACTAAGCCTGATACTACTGTTGAAACTTTCAGAACTTACTGCAGGCTTCTTTTTTTTTTTTTAAGTAAGGTACTAGTTAAATAAAGGGGACCCAAAGAGCTCCTGTAAGGTGAAGTTGACTCAGTAACTTAGTTTATGGTTTTTTTGCAGGAATATCATCTCTCTGCTGCAGAATATGCAGTTACATGTTGGTTGTGTTGATTTCAGGTGCTTCATTGCAGACTTTGCATACAAAGCTTTTGTCTAACTTCATGCTCTATTTGCCCAGTTTTCAGCCCCCTACCTTTCAAGTCTTTCTTCAGCTTGCGAGGCACCTCCTTGCTGGGGGGCTGTTCTTAGGGTTTCTGTGTGGCATGTGACTAATTAAACAGTTTTGTAGAACCTTGGTTGCTTTACGGTAAGATTAGATTCTCTCAGACTTTGGCTTTCCAAAGCTATTCAGTAAATCATAGGAGACTTGATTTTTTTTTTTTTTTTAAGTTTGATTCCTTCAAGTACACTAACTCGGAAACAGTTTCGAAAAAGTACTCTAAGTTGAACTTGCTGTGCTCTACTTTACTTAGCCTCAAAGATTTGTTTCGTTGGAGTTATTTGGAAGAGGTGATAGGCATTTTTAAAGGTGGAAGTGGTTAAAGGTATCTCATCTATGATTAAAATTACTTTAATCCCTTGGGACATAGATTAGTAAGATTTAGGTAAGCTGTGTCAGTTCTGAATAAAGATGGCTGCATAGGTATTAGTACTAAATATTCAATATGAGTTAATTTAAAATTAGTGTTTGTTTATGCAGCCTGAAACATGGAAGAAGGTATTTTTCATTTGGACAGATGAGTCAGTGTTTCAAAAATTATGCAACACTGAGTTCTTCTCAGTAATATTTTGACAGAGACTTCCTAGGCTGTTGCAGAACAGTGTGTCGTGGTGCGTATCTCTAAGCTCTCTGTTGCAGTGTTTCCGGAGTCTTGAGTCCAGATGGTGAAGCCCTTAGCTATACAGCTGGAAAGCCAGATGTCTGTTACTAATAAGTGAAGAACTTTGAGTATTCTGAAATTCTTACTTTTTCCAAGTCAGAATGAAATATGACCAAAAAGACCTCAAACCTACTGGAATTCTTTGTGAAAGAGAATAATTTTCCTATGTAGGTTTATCACACACAGTAAGGCCAGTAGCTTTTTATGATTCAAAGGAAATGCTGGTACCATCAGAATTTTAAATGTTCTCCTACCAAAACAAGGACACTTGGATTTCTGTATAAATGCTTCTTACTGAGTTACTGAAGTTCAGCAACCCTGTTATGAGATTTACAATTTGCTGAAGTGCATTTTATTGTATTTTTTGCATATATTAGAATGAAAAACTTAAGGATTTCCAATTATGGTGATTAAACATCTTTAAACCCTTTCTTTAAACCCTTTCTTTTAAAAATGTCTTTTTCTGTGTTCAGAAGCGTAGAGGAAGATACAGCTGGTCCAGAGAATGTGTCCATTCCACAGAATAAGTCAATACAAGAAAATGCTACTGAAACCTCTGATTCTTCTAAAATTACTTCTAAGAATCATGCACGTGGTAAATCTTTTCTTAATTTCCAAAAATACTTAAGCACCTAGCTTTAATTAAAGTTTAAATGTCACACTAAAAGTCATTTTACTAAATGCGGACTTCTCTAAGTATACAGAATAGCACCATATATCTAATGTCTACGATAAGCCACAAATACCTTATAATTAGCAGCCTGGAGATGCTGTGAGAGTAAGCCATATGAATATAGCTGTATTACTATTTGGAAAATATTCTGTCCTTGAGAGACTCAGAATTGTTTGGCTCTGAATGGAACGCATGAGCAGGAAATCTCTCCTGTAGAGAGGATGAATATTTTGCTGTCAAAGGCCATAGGGTTTAAGGAAGCTTGAAATCTGTTGAAATAGGAGGTGAATAACAGCATTGTCCTCTGGGAGGTTGGCTTTTTTTTTTTTTTTTCAAGATTCAAGGTGTATAAAAGGGCACTTTTTCCTTTTTATTCTAATGCTCAAGGATGTGGTATTCAGTCAGTAGAGGCTTAAAAGCTCATGGCTTTATCAGATAATAGAAGGGGGACAAAGGATGATCTGGCAGCAGTTGGCATGCAAGTTTGGAGCAATGAAAGCTGAGTAAAAAGTTGCAGCAGCCGGAAATCAAATGAGATTCTGGAGTGCTTATCACAGAAGGCTTTTTTCCTATTGAAGTAGAGTGACTGTAATGCCACATTTCAAGCTGTGATGGTAACATCAGTATTGGTTGTTTCATCCCTGAAACTTAGTCAAATAGCATGTTTCAGGTTTCAAATAAATAATGTCTTGAAACTGGAAAAGCCTTTACCTGACCTGGAAAACTCCATTTTCGGTGGTGGTTTTTTGTTGGTTTTTTTTTAATTTTCTTAGACAAAGCTTCTCTTTAGCTAAAAATTTCAGTTAAATTATTACGGTTTTTTTAATTTTCTTAGACAAACTATAATACTCTCTTTAGCTAAAAATTTCAGTTAAATTATTACCTTCATGGAGTCTTTCCAAATAGGAAATACTCAATATAAATGCCAAATACAGTCTTGCTGTAGCAATTTGATTGCTAGCAAGTTACTTTTATGATAGTATTCGGGTATTCCGGAAGTATCTGGTTCCTATAGTATAGGTAAGTATAAACTGTTTTTCTGGATTTCTTATTTTTAGATGGTGTAGCTCAAGCTAAGGAAGCAGAAGACTCTACCCTGCATCAGCATAAATGGTACAAAAATTCAGAATGATTTGTTCCTATGCTTGCTTTTGTTATGTGAACTGCCAAACAGGACAATCATCCTTACTGAGATTGTTTTGTGAGTAAATAGGGTATAATACAGGTAGAAGTATTCTGTTACATCACTGTTGAGCTTGAGGTTACTGTTGCTGTTAGATATACATGTATATACACACATCATCTTGTGAATCCCTTGAGTAACTTAGATGGATCTTTTGCTCACTCCTGAAAGCTAACTTTATCTGTTGAAATTACATAATCGTTGATTAGAAACCATAGTACTAGGAAGTGAATGAAAGCAAACACTTTCTCAGCTCAGTCCACAGGTATAAAATACCAGCTCTGACTCGCGCTTGCCTGGATTATGTTTTAACCAAAGATGGTCCTATTTGAGGTCTAAATTGTAATCCTACCCTTCTGTCTGTGTATTGGTATTTAATGACATTAATCAGTTTTGTGTCTCTCCCCTTAATGTGAGTCTGTTCTTGGGGGCGGGGGAAGGGGGATTATTTTGAGAATGTGTCCACAGCACAAAATTATGGCCTTTTTCTTTTTTCTTTCATTTCTTTCTTTTTATTTTTTTCTTGTTGTTTGAAAGTGTATCTGTTATCCATACTCTTTTGTGGATAGGACAATTTCTGTTGATAAATAATTTGACAAGCATGCAGTAGAAATGAATGCTAGGTTTGTTTGTGATTGAGTATGCCGAGGGACACCTTAGGTGTGGTTTGTGGGGAAAGTCAGCAGATAGTGGATCCTGAGAAGTTTTTAAATTTCTTGCACGCTCTGGGACTAGGTGGGGCTTTCCTTTTGGTGGCTTACTCTTTTTCTTCTACTTATTAATGCTAATTATGGGTGACTAACATTTTTCTTGTGCAAATACCAGAAGTATTTTGTATTCTAGCCTATTGGAAAAGTTGTTGGTAGGGTGATTAAGTAGACATGTATCTCCTCCTGTAGCTTCGCTAGCACAAGCTTAAGATCTTTGTAATATATGTGATAAGTTGAGGTATGGCTCAGCAGTTAAATTAATGAGAGTTTGGATATGACTGAGGGTATGACAAAGGAAGTAACCTGAATGAACAGATATTGTAGTCTGCTAACAGGATTTATCTTTCGCTGGTTAAAACTTTTCAGCACTTGGGGGCAGTTTGAGGCATAACATCTGTAGAATAAACGGTTGAAAACCTTGATGAGAAACGTGTATTTGTGTCTGTGATCAGTTGAGAAGTTTACTTTGTCTTTCAGAGGTTGGTCTTGCTAGTTACCTTTTTCTTTGTCAAGATTAGACTATGGTAGCATCCTTAAATGAGGCAGTAAGTTTGATTCCTTTGCATATCAGAGTTAATGGAGTGTGTCTCCCTGCTTGAACTAGTAGATGTTCTCCTCCAAAGACTGAGATGGGAGTACTTTTGTAGCAAGCTTGGCTGACATCCTATCACATGCTTTCCTGACACTGCTATTCTGTGTCAAATTATTACAGTTGAGTACACTTACAGATGCTGAAACTCATCTGGTTGGTTGTAACCTAATGGGGAAAATTCTGGCTTTACGTGAGACAGCTTGCCTAAAATTTGGTTGTTTTCTATTTTGGAAAAAATCCAATTAAACTTTCTTTATTTTAGCTTTTATCCAGAAATAAAATGGTTTCAAAACGAAGAGACTGTTACAGTGAAGGTAAAAATAGAAAGTGTAGCTGACTGTAAATGTGAGTTTGCTAAAAAGAAGGTGGTTTTCAGGTAGGTTTAAGAAATTTAAATATAATAAACACAACATTTGACTGTCAGCTTGCATTTAATGTTTAACTTCTTTATAATGTAGTGCTTGTTCAGGAGACAAACTTTATTTGGCTGACATGGAGCTGCATCAATATATACTTGCAGAGAAGTCTACGTGTGTGATTAAGGATAAAGAGGCTATTATTGTTCTTGCAAAAGAGAAGAAAGGAGTATGGTGCAAATTACTGAAGAACAAGGTGAAGTGGAAATTGAAAATTATTAAATGTTCTGAACATATTCACTGTGCATCAGTGCAGATATTTCAAACAATGTTTTTGTCAACAGAATCCTCACGTGTCTTTTGATTTTGAACATTGGGAAGATTTTGAAGATAAAAGCCCTTTTCCAGTTGGTAAGGAATGAACAAGCTGGTACTTATAATGCATAAAATGACTGGCATCCTCACTTTTTATAGGTTTTATCTGAAATACTCATTTATTTCAGGTTTGTCATTCTTAGCTGGCTTGCTCAAATTCTCTGAAAACACATGAGAGGACCTCTACTAGCAAACTATGGGCAGCAGGGTATTTTTCTGCTGGAATATCACAAAGAGCAGTTTGAAGTAGTTTTTAGTGGTTTGGTCTAGTTTGTAGTCTAAAATGTGGGGGTTTTGTTGGTTTTGGTTTTTAATACTACTACATATTTGTTCTGAAGTTCTTGGTTTTTTTCTTGCTTTACAAATGTTACACTTATTAATTACTTCTAGGTACTAAAAAACTGCATTGCACTGCTGCAGTAAGTGAAGAACTGGTTGACTCCTCAGAAGACAGTGGAACAGAAAGCGATGAGTAATTTGGAGACAGATCTTTCTTCTGATAAGAATTATTCTTCAGAATAATGTCCCTTGCATGATTATTTCCCCTAAAATTAATAATACTAAACATACATGTTGCAGAACTGTCCTTAATTTTAGGAGGAAAAGAAGTGAACAAAGCCCTTTGGGTGCTGGGAGTCTGAAGAAATACTCCATAGAAGACCATTATGTGTGTTTTCCAGTGCCTTCACTTTTAAATTGTTGGCTTTAATGGTGATGTGCACATACATAAGTGTGCCGTCGAAACAGTAAAATCTAAAGATTAAGCTTGGGTTGTAAAGCAGTTGAGTTTATTAGTAACTACAGAGCTTCTAGTTTACTTACCTGAGTGAATTTGCTGTTAGCAATAGTTAGTAATTTTTGAAGTTTCACAAATGCAGATGATCTGTCAGTTGTTCCTACCATATCCCTCATTTTTGTACAGTATCAGTTTGTTGTCAGTTCTGCATCGAGAAATGATACTTCAACTCCAATGGCAATTTTTATTACTTGATTGGAAATATGTTGACTTGGTGTGAAATATTGTATGGTACAGCTCACTGTAGTAACTAACTGTTGTACAGCTTTTGCGGCACAAGTGCTGTGATAGATTCAGTATTTGTTTTCAGTTTGACACTTTTCATGAATGCTCTTATTCATTCCCTCTCATTTATCTAAACCTCTCTTCTTTGCAAATTAATAATAAAATCTTGTCTGTTTAGCTCTAATGCTTTGCCTTTTAATATACTATCTTTCAGTAAATATTTTTTCACTGTTAAATTTTTGCCCATCCAGAACATCTTGCAGTGAAGTAATAATGTAAAAGAGTAAAAGATACCTATACCAGATTCATTTATTATAAATCTCTTTGCATCTGTAGATGTTAAAGCACACTAGCTTCCCCAACATAGCTATATGGTGATTTAGAATAGAGACTTAACTTCACAGATTTATTTTAAGAAGCCTAAAATTTTGTATTCTTGACTAGGAAGAATATACTTGCTTCTTGAGGATTGTTCTTTCTAGAAACATTGGGATGTCTTTACTTCAAGAAGGGGAGAAGGACTGTATTAATATGTTTACACTGACAGCTACAGTTTTTCTAATACTAGCATATAACAAAAGCTGCTGCTTTCTGAATATTTAAGAATATTGATGACGCCAGTGGAAAACTGCCATGTGACAGAAACAGTTGTAATTGTTAATATATGGTTAAAAAAATTAGTGCTGTTGGGAACTTGACTAAACTGAGCTTAATTATAACCTTCACCTGAGTACCAGTACTTGCAAAGCTGTAATTGTTGTAAAGTACTTAAGGAAATAACTAATGTAACTAGTTTTGGTCTTGCTCTGCATTGTGATGCAAACAGAAGACTGTCAAATCACCTAATTGAAAAAAGGGAGATGGGGTGGGGTGTCTTCCTTCATGTCTTTTGTTCTTTGACTTGTCTGATACCTAAATATAATGTAAGGTGATTTTTCTGCTAGTAGATAAATTAGTGGGTTATTTAATATGCATAAATATCTGTGATTCTTGTCTGAAAAGTAAGACACCTTATGATGTAGAAGCAAAAGCTGGTTTTAGCCATATATTCTTAGCAGCTGCCAAGAGCCAATTTATAAAGAACAGTGTAAAAAATGTAGTGGTACATTCCAAGAATATTCTCTTGGTCTCAAGCAATTTTTGATGAGGGTCTTCATGAGAAAGAGGTTTTCTGTGGAGTTCTTACTTGTATTAGTTCAGTTGCATTTTGGAACCTACATCAGCTTCTGACATTTCTCTTGCACTAAGGAAGTCAGTAGTCAATCAACATAATATGTGAAGAAAGATTCCCTACCCCCCACCCCGTTTTGAAGCCATCCTTGCTCTGTCTGCTTGACATTCTGTACCCTCAAGATGTATTAGGAACAGATAGTTTGCTTTTCCCATCTTCTTGTCGCTTCAGACTCTGCCTATGGACCCCTCTGATAATTTTTCCCCGCCATCCTCCAATCAGGTATCTCTATTTCAGCCTTCACATTTGTAGCAGATAGTCATTCCTTATACAAAAGTATTCTGCTCCTTTGGTCTTTCCCTGAACCTTATAGTTCTGTTTGAAGTGATACTTCTAAAAACTGGTTTTTGCCAACTGAGCTAGGGGAACAGCAGCTATAAGTGTGACTGGGACAAAACACTGGCAAGTAGGCACTTTATACACAATGACATTATTACTATTTTGTTTAGGTCTCTATTGCCTGCCTTAGTCATTCTTAACCTTTTTGCTTGTTTTACCCTGATGGCATGTGGAGCTGAGATTTTCATGGATCTGACTATAATCGCAAAATCTCCCTCAAATTAATCAGAGCCCATCATTTTTATATGTACCTTTGGGATTGCTCTTCTATGTAGGTAGATGCAAAATGGAACTTAAGGTTCCTTATATAGAAACTTAAGTTTTATTTCTTTGTAGCTGCAAGATGATAGAAATAGCTTCTTTGTGGAATCTGCTAGGCTAGAGTTAGTACGAACTTAGCTCTTAAGCCAGTTGCTTAATATTCTTATACGTTTAGGTTGAATGTGCTTAACAGTTGTTGAGAGTTGTGCTTTCAGTATAAACAGTCTTTCTCAATCACTTTAAAATATTGACAAGTGACTTGATAAAATTCTTTCATTTATCCATTTGCACTGAGGGAATATAGAAGTAAAGAATGTTATTGAGAAACCTTAAGTTTCTTGGGTAGGGAAATAAAAGCTGCTTACATCTATATATTAATGTAGTATCTATTTTTCATATCTTATTTTCATCAGCTAGCAAATGGAGTGTATCTAGGATAATGAAGTTACCTCTGTGAAGTCACGTTCATGCTGAGGATAACTTCTGTGGCGTTTACTTGCTGTTCTGTAACTTGGATAGTGTTAGAGGAAAGCTAGATACCTGAGAAATTAAGCTTTATCTTGTTTTAATTAAAAAAAAATAAAAAAAGTCAGCCTCTTATCTTCCTGTCAACTGTGCTTTCCATTTTTACTTGATTCCCACTTCCTCAGTCTACTTTTTGATAGCTGGTGTTTGGTCTGAGAATGGGGTTAGTCTGGTTTTACGTTATTTCTGTCCTTTTGGCGTGGCCTGTTGAATGTGATGCTGTAAATGATAACTGCTTTGTTCTTTCAGCAGCGTGATCAAAAGTATCTTGATGGTGTTTGTGGTAAGTTTTGCCATCTTCATAACTGAAAAGCTCCTCGTGTTTATTTTGAGTAATTCTAATGCAGAAAACAAGTTAACATAAGGTATTAGCAAACAATGGACACTGTAATCTCGCTCAGAAATCTTTTATTCTTATATATTTAACATTTTTTTGAGTACTAAAGAGTTGCAAAAATAATACACCAGTATGAACATAACAATTTAGAAAGTATATAGGTGTGCCAAACTAAATTGAATCTTCTTCAACCAGTGTAGCACTTAAAAAATACAAACTGGTAAATATAAAATATTTTATTCAGTGACTTCCTCTGCTGGAACAACTTCCAAAAGCATCTGAAGGTGCATAGTGATGGACTCTGAGGAGAAGAAAAAAAAAAAATGTTAGAGGCTTTGAGAGAACAGTATTTCTATGCAGACTTATTTCTAAGTGAGAAAAATTATCCTTGGGAGTAGCTGTCTGCCTCTTCCGTATTCCTATCTCAAACTTAAAAAATAAGGGGTGGGGAATAAAAGCAGTCTTAAGATCCAAGCTGCAACACTGCAGGGTTTCTAAACTTGATCTCAGTGGAGTGCAATGTTTCTAATGGCATAACTGCAAAATATTTAATCATCCCCAAGGGGCAGGAAGGATGGATGATAGATTTTTAAGTCTGTAGAACTACTAATTCTGTCTGTTCTGTCTCTTCAGCTGGTTCCATTTTCCCTTTTAGAAATACCTGTGTGTCCTGTTTTCCCTGAGATAGTTGCAAAGAGTTTCTCTTGAGACTATGCAAAATAGTTTTATAAATAGTCACACTAGGTTCTTGCAGCTTTCACTTTACTCAGCAGCACTGTGGCCGTAATGCTGTTAACCCTTTCTTTTAAGTATAGCAGAATTGATAACCTGAGCTAAAAGCGAAGTATTTTGCAGCATAAGAATGTATGTCTGCTAATCTTTAGTTAATGGCTAACACAATGTTTTGAAATATGAACAATCAAAAACCAAACTTCCCAGACAAAAAATTTCTGTTCATCTTAAAAGTCAGTTTCCTTGTACTACTACAGTGATATATTGCTTTTTAGTGAGTTAAGTTTTGTTTTTCCTGAAGTGAGGCAACACCTTTTTCACAGGAAGGAGTAAACAACAGTATTTAGTAAAGCTCACTATATGCTGCTCAATGTCTGGAAAATTGCCTCCCTCCACACCCTGCTCGTGTGATTTAGGTGGGATGGACTATCAGCTTCGTTACAGTAATTACTTAAGTATTAGCTGTGCTTACATAGCTTAGCAATGTTCTATTGAATTTGGATCTGGCTGTCTGAGGTATACTTACTTGATATTTTTCGGGGCCAGTTGAACTTAAAATGAACAAAAAGTACATAAACTATAAGTCCACTAAGTATAAATAAAACACAGTACAAATAGGCCAGTTCAGGTGCACTGATGATTGGTGCCAATACCAGTAAAATGGAGACTAATGTCACTATGACTGGAATGATGATGGGTACCTGCAAGATACAAAGCACAAAATTAGTTGTTCATTCTTTTGTTGCTCTTACAGAAGTTGAATATATGAAAGAAGAATATTTTTATTGCCTTATGCAGTTTTTCCTTTTAAAATTTCTGTAATTAGATGGGGCAATTGAAAGAGTAAGAAGAACATGGAAAATTCTTCTGCAAAATGATTGACCAAGATCTCTGTTGATATTGCAAATTGCAGGGTGAAAATTTGTGTTCTAATGAACATGGGACCTGACTCCAGTGCAATGACCTGGGGTCTTATTTTGGGTACTCTTTCAGTGGTAATCTGCTGACTGCAATTTTCCATCCCTGAAAA